CTTGGGTACCAGCAAATATCCTGAATATACACTAACACCAGCTTCTCGGATACCCGTAGATAAAATATAATAGGATAAAGTTGCGGATATCATCCAGTGGAAAAATAATGAAAATAAAATTTGTGAGAGAAACTTCACGATCGGTTGCCTACTTGATGTGGCATGAGAGGTTATGACTTGTGAGATAATAACATGGAAGCTTGAGCTTTAACTTTTTCTTTCTTTCTTTCTTCTTTTATGTGTGTGTATTATCTTTCCTTTCCTTTCCTTTTCTTTTTCCTTTCTTTCTTTCTTTTTTGATAATATTTAGCTTTAACTATCATCCAGTGGAAAAATAATGAAAATAAATTTTTTGACAGAAACTTCACAATCGTTTGCTTACTTGAGAAAAACCATATAATCAAATAAGCGTAACTTCCATTATGTGGTCCAGTTGTCTTGTTATCTGCTCTAGTGATGACACTTGAATGAAAGTAGAAGAAGATGAGATGATCAAAAATGTCGGATTTTAAACTTAACACAACTTTTTAGCAAGGAAAACTTACGAAGCACTGACCTCATTTGTTGAATTTACCACAGCATCCACTTCTAGATTCCACGGATCCCCTCTCCATAAATATATCTTTGAATTGATTTCGTGGTCGACAGGAAATTTTGACACTGACTCATTGGCACCACCCTCCGTTCCTGACTGTGTTGTTAAAGGATCAGGAAAGAATAAGCTAGGAAAGGATTGATCTCCTATTTCATGATCCAATGAAGACTTGTGCTCAACATCACTCCATCTTGGAATTTGATCCAAAGTCACAACAGAGTCCCCGCTGTCAGTAGGCAATCCACCCCGGGTGTGGCTGCAGTAGCCACAGGCCGATACATTTCTGTAACTCCTGTCTACAACACCACTGCCCTTGTTGAGATTTCCGATTCAGGCGCCACAGTCACTATGACACACTTATATGGATCACCCAACTATTGAATGGTCCTGTTTTGGTAGTCCCGGGAGAAAAATAGCAGAACAACGTGCAAAGTTAATGATATATCACCAAAAGAAAGAAGCAATTTCATGCATGGCAATCTTCTATTATTCTGAATTGCACTTTCTGTGGGTAATCAGAACCAAAAAAAAAAAAAAAAGAGGAGGAGGCGCAGCTCTCGCAACTGGATTCGTGCTATCTGTATGGATAATTAGTTCGAATTCGAAACCTAAGCAGAGACTTTCTCGTTGAATTAAAAACTAAAAATTTGGATATTAAAGAAAAAAGTCAAGAGAGAGCCCTAATCAACATGAAAGCCCGAATACCTGCAACTGAGTTCTGGGCGTCCAAAACAAACTCACTTGTATCCCCGTAAATATGCTTTTCCACGATTATTATTACTTAGAAGAAAGATCAATTATTGCCGCGACAATGGTGATAATGCTCTCTAGCTCATATGGCCCGGAATGAAATTACGAAAGAAAAGGAACGAACCATTTTGCTTTTGTCATTTTCTGGCCTTTCCAGTCTTCGGTTGAGACTTCAATCATTCCATGATTAGCCAGAACCCAGCACGGTTCATGTACATGAACTAATATTCGTCATATTAAAAATTTCATATATTTGGGTTCAACGTCATATTTCTTAATTTTATTACTTATTAATATAATTAGTTGGAAGCATTTTTTTAAAAAAAATAGATCATTAATTTGATAAAAAAAACATAGAATTTTTTTGTATTTTCTTATGATTATATGGCATATTAAAAGGTATTTTCATTTTTATTTTATAAAGATGATACGAACTCATTTTTTTAATATAATAAGAAATTTTTTTAAAAAATGACTGTTGATTTTAAAATTTTAAATTAATATTCGTTACTACATTCGTAAAAAAAAATGATTACACTAAAAAAAATAACAACACTTTTTATAATAATTACTGATTTAAAATTTTAAAATTTAACAATTTTTTTTTAGATTTTTCCTAATATAATTGATCATCTAAAAATTTAGTTACAATAAGCCATGCACACGAGCCGGATGGAACGGGATAGTGCATGTCACAGGACGCACATAGGCACCAAGAGGTTTTGGCCTAAGGTTCACGTTTAAGCTTCTCCGCCTATACTGGCGTGGAAGGAGAACGAGGAGAGGAAGAAGATAAAAGCATCTTGAAGATATATATGTATATTTCGTGGGAGGACACTGGGCGAAGGAGAATGATGAAGAGAGAGACTAGCATGTGGTGAGGACTGAGGTGTGGTTGGATAACTCTTAGACCTGTTCTGTGAAAGAAGATGACGAGATCTCGTCGGAGGAGGAGGACGGTGGCCAGAGAGGCTTGCTAGTGGAGAAGCGTTGCATGAGAAGTCCAATGAAGGAAGACTATGGACGAGATAAGGGACAAATAAATGAATAATGTCCTTTGTTTAAATCCCCCCCAAGTGTAGTCCTTATCATACTCATTACGGACGGCTCAACCGTGACTAATGTTGGGTCTTGGCAGCCACCACCCGCAGACTGGATCAAGCTGAATGTAGAAGGGGCTATGGCAGCCTTTTGCACAAAAGCTGGATGTGGGGGCATTATCAGGGATGGCAATGGTCATTGGATTGCTGGGTTCACGCATCATCTGGGGTGCTGTACTGCTTTTGAAGCGGAGGAATGGGCTATTTTGAGAGGCCTGATTCTTGGTCATGATATGGGAATCAAAAAAGTTGTATTGGAATCTGATGCTAAGACGCTAGTGAGCATGCTGAAAAAGGATAGCAGCAAAAAGGTAGGCAGCTTAGTCTTTCATCGGATCAAAGAGATGATGACCTATGACTGGGAACTGGAAGTCAGCTACATACCACGAGAGCAAAATCGCCTAGCGGATGCCTTGGCAAAGGAGGGCCTTGCGCGGACAGCTGTCTTCCCTTCTTGTCCCTACAAGTTAAGGGCTTGGCTAACTTAGATAGTATGGGAATTAATCCCCCTTGATTCGGTTTGTTTTTCGCTTTTTGGAGCTTAGCCTCATCCGTTGTACCAAAAAAAAAAAACATCTCCGGTCTTAAATATAAAACTTATTTTGTAATATAAATTACACTAAAAAATGTGTCTTAATTTAGGACCGGAAGGAGCATGAAATAAGAGTTAGTTTAAAAATTTCAATTTATTTTATCTCTCAGATTTATCTATTTTTTTATAGTAGTCTTTATAGTGGTTACACATGTTAAATGTTTATCAAATGACACTTGATTAGCAAATATATTTAAAAAAAAAACAACACCTATTTATTACAAATAATTAACTAAACTAATTTCTTAATCAACTCAAATTAGTAAACTAGCCCTTATATTAAGGACTAAAAATAATGTCTTACGAGAAATTTGGCAAACACCCCAGCTTTTATGTAAGTCGAGACAAAAAAATTTTTCATATATTTATTTCATGTGTTGTAAAATCACTTCTAGATTAATCCAAACAATCCTGATAGTGCAATGTTAATGCATCTACTCAAGAGAGTCAGCATTACAAAATGCAATTCTCTTGATATTGCGTAAATTGAATCAAATATTTGAATTAATTCCTCGTAATTTGTATCAAGATTAATGGAATCGTGCCAAACTAGCCACTATTCTCATAAGTCATAACCATTGTTAAATTTTGAAATGTTTACAAGAAATTGGTTTTGGTTTTCACCCAGTTCTTGCTCCAGCGCTGGAAGAGGTGAAGTTATGTTGCTATTATCTTTTTTTTTTTGGGGTAATTTTCTGCTTATAAAAAAAATAAAGAATATTTCATTACAAATTCTGAAAAAAATTTTATTCATTAAACTTTATGTTAAAAAATTTAAATTAAGACTCCATTAATTTAACAATCCAGCTTTTCCTCTCCCTCTTTAAATTTAAATGTTTTTAAATTATTGAATTAAAAACAAATAAAAATTATAATAAATAAGAAAATATGTTAAATTCAAAGTTAGGAAGTTTTTGAAAATGTATAAAAAATACCATTAAATAAATATATCTGCCGAGGATAGCTATATCTATAAAAAAAAAAGCATTAAATTTAGCTAGGTAACGGCTAATTAGTAGTTGGGACGTGAAAATGGAATATTAGAAATAAAGAGAAGGGAGAGAAACAGGGAGGGGGGGAAAAAATCTTAAAGCAAGCGAATATCAATTCAAACTCTTGAAGTAGCCTAACTACGCCAAGGATCTCGAGGATGTTACGTTAAAGTTCTCACTAATTTATTTGTGATTAAATTACGAAGCCAAATTAACTGCATACCCTTCATTTGAATTCTGAAAAACAAAAATTCTAATTACAAGAATAGCTCAATGAATAGCAACTTTATTTAAGAAATGACAAAAATAATTGAATCCATGACAAGTTATTTATATTTCTGCATTGGCAAGTTTAAACAAACTATTACATATACATAACAAATTCTTAAGTTAAAGCTATATCTTTGTCCTCCACAAGAAGGAATGTCTGCATAAGCATGGTAGTAATGTTTTTTCAATTTTGAAAAACCTTGGGTCAATTTTCAAAATAAAAGTATGTCTTGTAAATAAAGTACTCCTCCGATCCTTAATATAGGACCCAATTGCTAAGTTGATTTTGATCCTAAATATAAGACCCATTTCTCATATTTATTAATTTTCTCTAAATTACCCTTATGGATACTCCATCAACTATAATCAAGTAGAAGATAGAGAGGGGTATTAAGAAAGATGATTATGGTATTTTAGGAAAAACATGTCATAATTTTTATAATTAACTAACTTACCTAACTTCTTTAATCTAATCAAATTAGTTAAATGGGTCCTATATTAAAGACTGGAGGAGTAAAATGAAGATTAGCGTACACTTTGCAACTATTGTATATATGTTTTTATAATCTTCATGTTTTATTTTAATAATGATGGTGATAAGATCAAAGTGCAAATAATTACCATTTTTTTCATTGAACTCACGCTGGCATCAATAAGAAGTAAATCTAAAAAGCAAGATTTTTTAGAATAAAAAAGGCCATCTTATTTTCTCCCATCCAATGGAAATTAATTCAACCTAAAGAAGCCATTGACCTTAACCCGAACAGTTCATCCTCTTCAACTCATCAATCAGTCTCTGAACAGAAATCTCAGAACTCCCGCCGCCGCCGCCGCCGCCAACGGCCTTCCTCGCCGCCTCTTTGATTTCCATTGCTTTAACTTTCAAAGCTTCGTTCTTCATCATCTCATCAATGGCGTCTCCAATCTCTTCTCCTTCCACCAGATTTTCTCCTGACCAACCCCATGTCTTCTTCCACATGCCCCACCCACTCTTCTCCACCACCTCTGCATTAACCTTCTGGTCTCCGATCTGAGGCCACCCCAGAATCGGCACGCCGTGCCATGCTGCTTCCACCACCGAGTTCCATCCACAATGGCTCACGAACCCTCCCACTGAGTTGTGACTCAGAATATCAGATTGATCTACCCAGTGTTTCACTACCAACCCTTTTGATTTTAATCTCCTCATCAGATCCGTCCCGACCACTTCTTGTAAGTCGTCTTCTTCTTCTTTGTCTACCTTCTTATCCTTCACTACCCACAGAAATTTGAACTCGGTTTTCAGCAACCCGTTTCCGATTTCTCTTACTTGTTCTCTTGCCATGCTCAGTCTGCTGCCGAAGCTTACGTACACGACGGACCCAGGAGACCGATCGTTTAGCCACTTCAATGGCGAAGAATTCATCTGTTCTTCCCTTTCATTCTTCTCAAACTCACATGGCATCAAAGGACCCATTGGGAAAACAGGGGGCAATTCTTTGACCACTTTTCCGCTGTTCAGGGATTCAAGAGGAATCGATTCCAGCGCTTCGAACGAATTGACCAAAATCCCACATGATTTAGGAAGCTTGGGACTGTCTTCTAGTAATATGTTTGCGAAGACATTATTGGGGAGAAGAAGCAGAGGAGGGATCGAAGATCTGGGTATGGTTGAAACTCCTGGAATTTCTACAAAATCCATTTCAGAAATGGACGGAATCAATCTGGCTATGGATGAGAAGAGGCACAACATGGCAGCTGAAGAAGTAAAAAGGATGAAAATTGGAAGACGAAGGCTCTCTGTGATTGGAAGAACAGGGGATATCAGGGTCATATCGCAGACAAAAGCAGAGAGAGGTGGAGAAACCGAAGCGAGCAGAGAAGGAAGAAGATGACATGAGCGACGAATTGCTTCAAACTGGAGAAAAAAAGGGTCGTCGGAGTTTGCAGTGGAAGCATCAAAAGGGACGAGATAAAAGGGAAGAACAGAGACCTGAGGAAAAGCAGAGTGAAAGCGAGAGAGAAGCCTGGATTCAGCCATGGAAACTGTGGGCTGAGGAGTGATTAGAGTGACTCGGCAATGGCGGTTCACGAGCAACACGGCAAGTCTCAGAAATGGAGTTAGGTGACCCATGCCGGCGTTAGGGAAGAGAGCCACGTGAACAACCGCGTCGGACATGTTTTCCGGTGACGTGTAGTCAACTCAGACTGTGTAATGTGAATTGTCTGGAAAGACTTTTAATTTCAGACTAGAAAGATGCAACCTGCGATTCACTGAGTGCGTGGAAAGCTCTAATATGGATTTGAAAATGTATATCGTTTATGATGAATTCAAAGGCGAACCGAGAAGGAAGAAAATGAATTGAGGTTGTGCAAGTTGCGTGCTTTACGTGGTTTTTTTAATCTAGGATACACAAAATACTTCTACCTGCCTCTTGTTCTAATTATAAAAACAAATTAATTAATTTTAAAAATATTTTTTTAAAAAGTTAAATTTGTTATTTTTAATAAATATAGTTTATCTTTTCTAAAACATTCTTACTAGTCAAGTTTATTGATTAGAATTACTATTATTAGAGAGATTATCTTATAAAAAAATACATAAATATGAAAGATAAAATAGATTGGGATCTTACAATTAGGATCAAAATAAAAATCAAACGAAATTTTATATTAAGAACCGAAGGTAGTACCTTACTTCTTAATTATAAAATCTATTTATAATCTATAAACGAGGCCTTATAATTAAGACAGGAAGTAGTATATTATAACGAGACAGATCACATGCTCTTTTTTTTTAATGCTTATAATGGCAGTTGAATTTTTTTAAAAATAATTTTTATCATAATTTATAAAGTATACGAAAAAAATTATTTGTTTCAACTTACTACGTAAACATGTAACATATTTATAATTATTTATAAAATATACATTTTGCATCCTTGATGCTTAAGACAGTCTTATCCGTCATTTTGTTTATAACCCCAATTCCCCAAAATTACCTAAATTATCCTAAAGTGCTTAGTGACTTATTTAAGCTGCCTAAATGATGAAGACAAATTATCTATACATCCCTTCATTTGATTTCTTTCTTCTTCTTTTTTCCGGCCAAACCCTTCATTCTCAACGTAAAAATAGCTTCGCAAATAATAATTTTAACTTAAAAAAATGACAAGAACAACTAAGTCAACGATAAATTCTTGTTATACATACACCATCCATTATAAAATTCATAGAATCATGAACGGAGAGGGCAAATTTTTGGGTCCTTCCTTTCTTTCTGCATCGGACGAGATGAAATATTATTATTATATTCTCATGAGTTGGCTATATGTTATCTCTTGTACTAAATATAAAAGTTAGTTGACTAATTTAAATGGATTAAGAATTAGTTATTTATAATAAATAGATATTGTCTTTTCTAAAATACTTTTATTAATTATGTGTATTAGCTAGAATTATCATATGATGAAAACTTAAATATATGTAACTATTATAAAAACTGTTTTAAAAAATAGATAAGTATAAAAAATAAAATAAATTAAAATCTTATATTTACAACTAATTTAAATTTCAAACTAGTTTTTATATATGTTTTATATTTATAGCCAACCCATGATGTCTCCGAGTTTTATTTTATTTAGCGTCGACAAAATATGACGAGACAACCCAGATGCTTTTGTTTTTTAGCAACTTATTATATGTGAGAGTACATTGAATATACAATTTTGTTTACAGGAGAGCAAATATAAAAATGTGAAATTGCCCTTCCCAACTCTGCATATGTTTTGACAGCGTGCAAGCAGGTAACATACTAAAAAGCATTTAATGATGCGTTGTACTGCTCCTCCATTGTTTAATGTAAAATTTGTTTAATTAATTTGAATAAGTTAAAAAAAATTTAGTCTTTAATTAATTAGTAATTCAATAAATTTAATTTTAATAAATATGACAGGAACTCTCTAAAATCCTATTTTATGATACTATTTCCGGTTTTAATATAAAAGCTAGTTTGATTTTGATTTTAATCTTAAATATAAAATCATAATTCACTTGTTTCTCATTTATTCATTTTTTTAATGTTGCTTTTGTACTAGTTGCACATATAAAATGTTTAATCAAGTGACACTTGATTAACCAGGTTATTTTAGACAAGACAATACATATTTATTACAAATAATTAATCTAATTTACTTAATCTGCTTAAATTAGGAATTGAAAGTAGTACTCCTCCGATCCTTATTATAAGACCCAATTTGACTTTTTATTTGGTCCTAATTATAAGACCCAATCCATTTTCTCTCTTATATTTATGCATTTTTTTCCAAGATAATCCTTCTAATAATGATAGTTTTAGCCAATATACTTAATTAGCAAGGATATTTTAGGAATAACAATACTTATTTATTATAAATAACCAACTTAACTTACTTCCTTAATCTCCTCAAATAAGTCAATTGGGTCTTATAATTAGGACCGGAGGAGTATTAGATTATCTATCATGCTGTGGTATAAGTTAACATAGCAACTGATGGGAATTTTAGTTGTTTAAAATAGCAGCGAACATAAAAGGTTTTCGGAAACTTCATGAAAATGTTGTAGCTTGATTGTTTGCTCCCTCAAAAAAAAATTCCAGTCGCAACTGTTGGCTATCGCCCGCAAATTTTCTTCTTCTTCTTAGGGGGGAAAAAAAAAATCAGATATGTCATCGTTGTTGGCTTTGCTTGGACATTTGTTGTCAACAAAGCAATTTCAAAGCTGCATGAGAAATTAAGCTCAGTTCATTGAACACTGTCCATTGCAGCTATAGGGAAGTTTAGGACCGCCTTGCAAGTGATGTTACAAAGAAAAAGGATCATCTTGTGATAGGGCTAAGTCACCAACCAAAGCAGGCCCATCTCCCAATGATTCATGTGATACAACTTATTAACAACAATGCACAAAACTCTCCCTGAACCAAAAAAAAAAAAAAAAAAGAAGCACAAAACTGTTTTTGCATACTTGAAGAAGCGTCCTGGTCCAGCTATGGCTTCTTCTTCTTCTTCAATTATTTTTTTAAAAAAATATAAGTATCTTCTTATTAGAGATAATCTTATTCGAAACACTGTCAAGCACTAAATGTAGATACCTCTTCTAACGGGGATTTAAACCTTAGTTCGTCACATTGTGAGAGACTAACTCCTTTTACTAGACCCAATTTCTGTTAGTTCTTCTTCAGTTATAGTACGTCCACGCCTCTCATTCATATTAATAGCTTATCTTCCTCCACTCATCAACTACCTAGTCTCTAAGAGACGAGTTTTTTCCCTTCCTTTTTTTGGCTATGGCTTGCAGATTACTATTTTTCATTTTTTAATATACAAGCTAGTTGACTAATTTGAATAAATTAAAAACATTTGTTAAATTAGTTATTTGTAATAGATATGTATTATCTTCTCTAAAATACCCTTACTAATCATATGTATTTGCTAGCAATACTATTTGATAGAATTTTTAGCATGTGCAACTACTAAAAAGACTACATTGATAAAAATAAATAAATATAAAACACAACATAGATCGGGATATTAAATTTAAAACTAAATTAAATGTCACGTTACTTTTTATGTGAAGGACCATACATAGTACCCGGAAAAAAAAACCTGATCAGGTCCTCTGACTCGATGGGTTCACTGGGCCAGCAGACGGCTGGCTCAGCCCTCTAGTCACTCCTTGGTCCAGGTTCCAACCTATTTTCTCCCTCCCTCTGATTGCTTTGTCTTCGTCTCTATGGTCCATGGGGAAGGCAGTCAAAGCACCATTATATCTCTGCGCCAGCCACCTTCATTCAGTTCATTGCATTGTCCCCGCGTTACCTTTAAAACCTTAACTTCGCTTATAATTAATTTCAATACATTCTCTCCGTGTGTGTCTCTAACCCCAAACCTCACACTCCCACATCCAAACAAATAGAGGAACACGAGGGACACAATTTCCCTCACAACATATCTATGCACTGCCACTCCTTAAATTGCTAATTTGGACTCGTACCTATTTGAATTTTTAATTATTCACAGATTATTGTAAAGGGTCATATAACTAAGGACACTGCCAGTGATCTTTTGAAAGGGAGGCCATAGGTTCAAATATGCATTCTGTGTGTGAGCATGTACTACTAATATATTATTTTCGGTCCTTAATATAAAAGCTAATTGAGTAATTTGAGTAAATTAAAAAAGTTTGTTAATTTAGTTATTTGTAATAAATATGTGTTGTCTTTTCTAGAATTTTTTTTACTAATCATGTATATTAGTTTAGAACTGTCATTTTATGTAATATTTAATATGTGTAACTACTAGAATGACTATTTTAAAAAAATAGATAAATATAGGGGATAAATTAAATTAAAATCTTATATTTAGAATCAAATTAACAATCAAACTAGCTATTATATTAAGGAAAGAAGTGAAGTATTTGCGTGCCCTTCATTTGATCCAATAAAAAAAACGACATCACAATTCACAGCCGTCAAAATTGGGATGGAAGTAGTAATTGTTATTATTTTTTTTACCAGAAATTATTATTATTATAACTAAAATATAGTAATAAAGTATTAATTGAAAACCTTTAAAATATCAATAACATGAACATAACTTAAGAAATGAGCTTAACAACTTTTTTCCTGGCCAGAGCTTAACAATTTATCAGCAACAATGCAGCTAGCAACTGCCAATACGGCAATACCGCAACTAATTAATCAAGCTAGCGCATACATATAATATAAAAAGACATGAACAAGCTTCTTAATTATTCCTCTCTAGTGAAAAGTGAAAGAAACCACTGAGCCTCACACGTAGGTTCTCATACATATCAATGGTTCGTCTTCTTCCACGCATCAATCAGTTTCTGAACAGCAATCTCAGAACTCCCACCACCCCCACCAGCAACGGCCTTCCTCGCCGCCTCTTTCATCTCCCCTGCTTTAACCTTCAAAGCTTCGTTCTTCATCATCTCATCAATGGCGTCTCCGATCTCTTCTCCTTTCACCAGGTTTTGTCCTGACCAACCCCACGTCTTCTTCCACATGCCCCACCCACTCTTCTCCACCACCTCCGCATTTATCTTCTGGTCTCCTATCTGAGGCCACCCGAGAATCGGCACGCCGTGCCATGCAGCTTCCACCACCGAGTTCCATCCACAATGGCTCACGAACCCTCCCACTGAGTTGTGACTCAGAATATCAGATTGATCTACCCATTGTTTCACTACCAACCCCTTTGACTGTAAGCTCTTAATGAGCTCCATCCCGACCACTTCTTCTAAGTCGTCTTCTTCTTCTTTGTCTACCTTCTTATCCTTCACTACCCACAGAAATTTAAACTCGGTTTTCAGCAGCCCGTTTCCGATCTCTCTTACTTGTTCTCTTGACATGCTCAGTCTGCTGCCGAAGCTTACGTACACGATGGAGCCAGGAGACTGATCGTTTAGCCACTTCAATGGCGAAGAATTCATCTGTTCTTCTCTTTCATTCTTCTCGAACTCACATGGTACGAAAGGACCTACAGGGAAAACAGGGGGCAATTCTTTGACCACTTTTCCGCTATTAAGAGCCTGAAGGGCATTCAATTCTAGTGCTTCGAACGAATTGACCAAAATCCCACATGATTTAGGAAGCTTGGGACTGTCTTCTAGTAATATGTTTGCGAAGACATTGTTGGGAAGAAGAAGCGGAGGAGGAATTGAAGATCTGGGTATGGTTGAAACTCCTGGAATTTCTACAAAATCCAGTCCAGAAATGGACGGAATGAATCTGGGTATAGATGAGAAGAAAGAGAACATCGTGGCTGAAGAAGTAAAAAGGATGAAAAGTGGAAGACGAAGGCTCTCTGTAACTGAAAGCACAGGGGATATCAAAGCCACATCACAGACAAAAGCAGAGAGAGGAGGAGACACCGAAGCGAGCAGAGAAGGAAGGAGGTGGGAAGAACGACGAATTGCTTCGAATCGGAGAAAAAAAGGGTCTTCGGAGTTTGCAGCAGAAGCATCTAAAGGAAGGAGATGAAAGGGAAGAAAAGTGACCTGAGGAAAAGCAGAGTGAAAGCGAGAGAGAAGCTTGGATTCGGCCAAAGAAACTGTTGGCTGAGCAGTGATGAGAGTGACCTGGCAATGGCGGTTCACGAGCAACGCAGCGAGTCTCAGATTCGGAACCAGGTGACCCATGCCGGCGGAGGGGAAGATTGCCACGTGAACATCCTCATCGGACATCTTTTCCGGTGACATATGCTCTGCTCAGCTCAGACTGTGTAATGGCCTTTGTGGGGGAGAAATGTCTGGACTTTGGAGAGAAAAGCAAGAGAAGCGGTGATTATTATAGGCTATAGGCTTTCGGATTTGAAAAGATACAGTTTTTTCTTTTTTCTTTTGTCTGTAAAAGACAGTTTTTCCTTATAGTCGCAGTTTCTATCGTGTTTTGACATATGTAAATATTTTTACTGAGTGATTGTCGAGGTTAGCAACACCCCACAAAAAATAGTAGTGAGATTTTTGGTAGTTTCAACGACAAAATGTAAAACATGAAAGAAGGTAGTGGTTTTGACTTTGACGGTTAGATTATCTACTCCTTTTTTTTTTTGGGTAGAAAAATTATCTGCTGCCTTTAATTCTGAATTCAAGGCACTCTTTAAGTGTGTTGTGAGTCTTGTGACTTGTGCCATTGACATGATTTAAAAATAAACCATTTTTTAAAATTTATTCCTATTTGATAAATTTAAAAGAGAAACATCCTTATAAATTGTAAATAAAAATAATCTCATAAAAAAAACTATTTAATGCTCCCTTTTTTCATGCGAAGTCACCCATATATTTTAGTTAATACTATGTTTGATTTTTAATATAATAGCTAGTTGATTAATTTAAAGAGATTGAGAAAATTAGTTAAGTTAGTTATTTATAATAAATGGGTATTGTTTTTTTAATATCTTTACTAATAATGTATATTAGCTAGAATTATTATTTGATGAAACTTTTAACGTGTACCGTTATTATAAGAACTACGTTGAGAAAAAAATAGATAAATATGAGAGACAAAGTGAATTGAAATTTTTTATTTATAATCAAATTAATTTAAAACTAGCTCTTATATTAAGAATCGGAGCTAGTATCTAACTTTGCTCTTGAATCTTTTTGAAGATGTATTGGGCAAGTAATGTTGCCAACGTCCATATAGTCTAGGGTTATAAATGCTTCTCTATATAAGAATGAAAGAGATCACAGGTTCAATTTCGGATACCTTATAAAAAATTAATCCCAATCAATCCCTGATTTCAAAATGACAAATAAATGTTAAGAGACTAATCTTATTTCTCAGCCATGGAAAAGACCAAAATATTATTTCAAAAAAAACCACTTTTATCGGTGACCAGGTGATCAAATCACCATTGCTGACAACAATACTGATAGGTAATTAAAATATTAATAATTATAATATTTAGTAATTTAAATATTCCTGTTTATAAATCTTCAGTCCCGATTTATAAATAAACCTTTTTAGATTTACAAATCCTCTAAAAATTTATTGCTTATCCCGTGTGTTATTTATAAGTTAATAAACGATCATTTTATGAATTTTCATTCAAAATTAAAAATATTCATTTTTGAGAAGTTTTATAGTCCAACCAGTATATCTTCCAAAAGTTACAAGTCATCCTTTAAAAATTTACACCTCATATGGGGTATTTCAGATTTATGAGTATATTTATCTTTTATATTAGTTGAGTTATAAATTAAAATAGAGTAATAGTTTAAACGTACTCCTCCCAAAATTTATAAGCCCTCTTCAACAAAATTGCAACTAGTGTAATGAAAAACACATTCACTTAAATTGTAAATTTTTAGAAGAATTGTAAATTTTAAAAGTTGACTTGTAAATTGTTGGTGGATTTTTATAAATAATAATATTTAAATTATTAAATATTAATTCACCAAAAAAATTATTAAATATTAAAATATTAATATTCTAATGAGATAGTAAAACAAATATAATATTTTATATTTATTTGTCGAAGATGTTGATTCAAGAATCCCCCGGTAGTTATTCAAAATTATAGGTCATCTTTTACAAGGATAAGAAATAATATTACCCTGTAAGCATTTACTTATATTTTTGAATTTTGATAATTTTATTTTATTACTTTTCATATAGGGTAATTATTTATAACCTTATTAGGTATTCTCTTTAGTTTTCTTATCAACTAACAATCAAATTAGCAGAGATTTAATAGAGGGGTGAGATTACTCCATTTTTAAAACACTGAGTAGTGTAATTGTGTCATTCTTAACTTTATGATGTCCTGCACATTTCTGAAGGAAAAAAAAAATTGAAAAGCAGATTTGAACTTCAACTCTTATTTTATTTTATTTTTTTAACCATGAGAGACCAATATATATATATATATATATATATATTTATAGCGCTACTAATTTGTTAGATGATAGATGGTGCTTACTGTCACGTGCGTGGTTGGTTTAGCAGAAGGCTATAGAGCCAAAGAACGTAGGTTGGCTTGTTTGACCTGGGATGCAATAATGAATTCCCAATTATATTTATGTTAAATTTAATTTTTTGTAGTTTTTTTTTAACAAGATAATGCTTCTTGTCTTTGATAGTTTTTTGTTAGGCATCATGTAAAAGATACTTATTATATTATAATTTTTATATTATCTTTATTTAATGTTGATTAATTTTTTCTACCGTAAGTTTTAAATAATTTTTTTATTTCAATGAAAATATTAATATCTTTTTGTTAAATTTAATTTTTTGTAGTTTTTTTAACAAGATAATGCTTATTCTCTTTGACAGTTTTTTGTTAGGCATCATATATAATTTTTATATTATCTTTATTGAATGTTGATTAATTTTTTATACCCAAAGTTTTAAATAATTTTTTCATTTCAGTAAAAATGTTAAGACTTTTTTTTAAATTACCAGACGGAAAATATTGTAATTAGTCGTGTCTTTGTTTTAGAAATATCAGAGTTTTTGTTGGATAAAAAATGGAATATCAAAATTTTAACTTTACTTATCAGCCAGATATAACATCAATTATTGTTTATTGTTTATTACACTATTTGATTCTTGATATAAAAACTAAACAGTTAATTTATAAAAATTAAAATAGTTCATTAAATTAGTCATTTAACAAAAAAGTATGCGTTGAATTTTTTCTTAGAGATCCTATTTAATATTTATTTATATGGGATATATTTTTCATAGTCTCTTGTTATGTACATTCTGTTATTATTTATAAATCACTTGTTCCCCAATCTCTCAAATAAAAAAATGTATTAAATTGATAATTTTTTCTATTTGTGCCCTTAATAAAAAATGGTATTAAAACTGCATTTTATATATTTCTCACTTATTTACTTTATTTCTTTATATATTTATTAAGTCATCACAGATAAATTTGGAAAATGCTCATTAATTATTCTACAAGTGACTTCTATTTTAAAAACAAATTTTTTTTCTTTACAGGTGACTTATAAATAGGAACAAATTAATATAATCAACAAGAATAATTTTAAAAAATAATAAAATTTAAACATAAAGTATTGCCTTGTGGATTTTTTTTTTTTTCATGAGATGAATTACGTACAAGAAATATGGATATGATGGCGCCACTATGAAGACATTGTGAGCTTGATTGAGTTTACCAAAGAGAGCAAAAAGAAAGAACTTGGTGGGGTCTTATGAACCAAAATTGGCATTTCCGGTACAACTTGCTTCTTTCCTTCATCTTCGTCCCTATGTGCAACTCAGTATTTTATATTTCAGTGACACAAAGGAGAAGATTATAAGTTATATTTTACTTATAACCTTACCCTTCTAATTAAGACTAAAAAACGCAACCACAGAAGAAAAATAACATATGCAACAAAAAAAAATCTTGGACGTAAAAATTCACATTATTGTATATTTGATTGAATGGTAAGTTTCAATTTTCTTTGGGGAAAAAAAGGCTGCCAAACAATTCATAGTTATGATCGCACCGAATTATCCATATAATATACAAAAAGAAATTACAGATAAATATACAAGCTTTATTAGTGATCACATAATAAAACGCAGAACCTGTATTGTGAAAGAAAAACAAGAAGAAGAGAGAAAAGATTGGGATTTATAGGAGGAGAACAAAAAAAATCAAAGATAGATATAAAGAACTTACAGGGAATAATATTCAGATTATAATAAATGGGAGGGATGATTCAGGAAAACAGAGTGGCCCAAAGGGGTGACCTGAGAACACAAAGTAAATTAGCAATGAAATCAACAAGAGAGAGAGAGAGAGACGAAGCTAATTCACTATGTATTCTCAGGTTCACTCCTCTGGGCTTAACTTCTGTTCTACCAAAAGTTATATGACGCCATCCTCTCTTGCTCACTTCTTCGCCTCCTTTTATAATAAAACATATGAGCTCTCACTACTTAGCTCATTATGTTGTCATTCTATGGACACGCTACATCAAATGTTGTCATTGTCTCTTGCCCCAAGAAATACCTCTGGCCTTAAATATCTGAGTTAGTTAGCAGTTCTAAATATTAACTCCAATCCTTAATATAAGACTGTATTTTATTTTTATTTTGGTCTTAAATATAAGACTCCAATCTACTTTATCTCTCATATTTACTCAATTTTTTCTAAGATAATTCTTCTAATAATTATAGTTCTAATTAATACACTTGATTAGTAAAGATATTTTAGGAAAGACAATACTTATTTAGAATAAATAACTAACTCAACTTACTTCCTTAATCTCCTCAAATTAGTCAACTGGCTTTTATAATTAGGATCGGAAGTAGTGTAAGACATCACTTCACTTTATCTTTCATATTTATAATGTATTTCCAAAAATATCCCTATAGATTATAAGATATTTTCATGAAGTCAACATATTTTTGTTATAAATAACTAACTTGGCTAATTTTTTTAATCTTTCAAAATCAGTTATCTAATTTTTATATTAAGGGCCAAGTATTATATCATTAGACTAATGTGGATTCCATATTTTATACCGGTGTGGTAAGATGTGTTGATTAGTATTGATAAGCACTTCCTTATGTTTTAAGTATTTCCTTATGTTCTAGATATAATAACTACTTAAAGGATTTATTTTGATTTTGAATATAATATCTCAATCTATTTGGTCTATCAAATTTATAATTTTTTTTAAACTATTCATAATAATTATACATATTAAGAGGTTTTTATTAAAAGATAGTTGCAATGCAAATATTATTTTTTAGCTGATCTCAATATCGGCATTTTTTTAATGAATTGTTATTTCGATTGTTGCTCCGATATACTTCTCACAATAGGATAATGGGTCAAATAATAAATATCTTCTTTTTTTTTTGGGTGGTATACAGATGCCGATCAATTGATTAACTATTTAACTTCTATGTTAGAATCCTGAGAACTGATATTGTGGTACGACTTTTTATAATTCTATGTTATGTTTTTAGATACATAGAATTTTTTTCCTCAAAAAATCAATAAATGTTTGGATAGGGGAAAACGTGATCCTAGAGAATAGATTTTCTTAAAAGCTGATCAATCCAGCTTCTCGCCGAATCATGGTTTTAACTCTCCAAACCATGATTTTTAGTTGATTAATCATTTTTTGACTCTTTTTTTTTGGGTGTTTGGCCGGATGAAATTACATGAAACAATGGTTTTGGCTCTTGGGTATAATCGAAACACAGAAGTTTATCCAAACAACATACTTATTCGGTTTATTTAAGTAAAAAATTATTTAGAAAATAACACAACGTCATATTCCTTCATGTCTTTCACTTTTTAAGACATGACCAAAGGGTTTTTATGTCTTGAATTTTTAATTAGCTCGTTAAGATTAAAAATGTTTTAGTTATCCTTTTTGTAACATTGAAAATTAAATTGAAACTATTTTCTTTTTTTTGCCAGAACTAAATCAAAATGACTTGATTCATCCAAAATACATATTCACACATGAATCGGCAATAGCACTTTAGCACAATAAATTTACATTAAATGATTTTTATTTAGATTGCTCCACTTAATTATTCTTATTATTGAATTACTAGAAAAACAATTAACATTTCCTTCCAATTGTAAGATTTTAGAATGACGACCACCTATTTGGGCCGAAATTTTATTGGGCCGAGCTGAATTATCTCTGAAATATAGGTTGTGAGCGTATAAGCCCATATATCCGTAAGCGAGGATGAAATAAAGAGTTGGGACACGCGCAGAGAGTTAAGGGCACTCACCGTTCCATGGCCTATGGTTTAGAATGCAGGTCATTTTGCCAAAAAAATTGTAAAGAACTACTTTCTGTCTTAATTATAAGATCTTATTTATAAACTATAAATAAGATATTATAATTAAGATCAGAGATAGTACTATTATTTAATTTAAAAATATTTTTGTTAATTTTCCATCAGGGGATAGATAGATTACATTTTTAAAAAAAATTATGATGTAAAAATTAGAGCTAAAGATGAAAGTCAAATCAATATTTAGACAATTTTAATGAATGAGTTTTAAAAAGTGACTTGTATTAAGATCTGGATGGAATTTATATACACAAGCTCTTTACTTGTTGCAATTTGCATTTATTTTTCTCAGGGTTGTGTAGTGTGTTTGCAGAAAATTGTGACGCAAAGATTAAAACAATGTTGGTTGAAGTCATATTTGATTTGAATGTATGTTGGAATGGCCAGAAAACACTTTTAAAAATTATTTTTATTTGAATTAAGAGAAAACCTTTTCATATATTTACTTACGTTTATGTGTATCTAGCACCACGAGGAGTGAACCCAAAATACGTTGTGACGCATCTAGTATCTTAAAGTATTTTTTACATGCGTTTAGCAATGTAAAGTATCTTTTGGTGTATTCAACACCTCATAGTATTTTTTCAAGTATACCCAGCACCCGAAAATATTTTTTGGTGTGTCTAACACGAAGGCAAAAAAAAAGTATTTTGGGGTGTTGGATATATCTAAAAAATATTTTGAGATACTAGATGCATCACAAAATATTTTAAATATTAGATGTAACTAAAAAAATATTTTGGAATGCTAAATAAACTTAAACTATATTTATTTTGCATATCACAAAATTATTTTTTAAAATCATGATTTTGATATCAAACCGCCCTTACTTATCGACATGGTGTGACCTGGGTTGTTGAAGAGGCCACCACCAACATTTATTAAAATCAGAAAAACTCGTGACGGATATGTTCCATTTTAAGTATGGAAAACCATATTGAAGGTACTTATATTTTTTTTTAATTTTCAATTTGATACCTATGTATTTTTTGTTCTTAACTAAATCTTTATTTTTCCTCTATTAACATCATTAATCCTTATGTAGAGACTAAAAATATCAATAAAACAAAGTTATAAGAGCTAATATTGTTAAAAATATAAATTAAATATTTAATTAAAGGGAAAAAACACATAGGTACTAAATTAAAAATTGAGAGAAAGTATATGTACCTTTAATATGGTTTTCCTTTTTAAGTATCCCAACAACTAACGTAAGAAAATTAATATTCATTAAAAATTAAAAAATAAAAACAGAAGAAAATGAAGCTGGCAATACAAACAAGGACGCGTGGCCGACATCAGGGGAACCTACACTTAGCCATACCATCAGTAATTAAAGTACTCCATTAAACAAACAAAGCGCAGCCCGCCTACAAAACAACGAAACAAAAGCAACCAGAGGCCAACACAATGATTGATTCAGATACAACTTAAAATGGACATGATCATATAAAGGTTCGAATTTTATTATTAGCAGTACTTAATATAAAAATTAGTTAAAAATTTAATTTAATTTTAAATATAAGATTTTAATTTACTTTATTTTCTGTTTTTTTTTTTTCAAAATATCCCACTAATATAAAAGCTCTTACAAGAGGATAATTGTAAGAGAATATTAAAAAAAGATTAATATATATTTGTGATAAATAATCAAATTAACTAATTTTTTAAAATATTTTAAAATTAATTATCTAACTTTTTTATATTAAAGTGTAAGTAAAACTAAACTTGTAATTTTAACTAACAAAAATAAGCACAGTAAGTGAGGGAAGCACAGCCAACAGTCAATTTATGCAAATATTTGTGATAAAGCAAAAGAAGGACAAAGGAACGTGTCGGCGATTAAGGGGGTGTTTGGATAGAAACCAAACCATAGTTTCAAAAGTGCTTTTACGGATTACGAAGTAAATATGTAGAGGAGATTACTTCATTTTACGAAAAAGTGCTTCTGAAACTATGATTTTGGGTTTTCCAAACACCCCCTAAGTCCAAAAATGAGGGTCCCCAGAAAACACGCAAAATATCTCATCGCCCACCACCTCAACTTCTTATCCATCACCCACGTGGATTCTCCACATCCACTCAGACAAATCTTATCTTTTTTTTTTTTTTTCCCAACTTACATATTGTATCTTCACTCCCCTTATTTCTCAACGTCCGTCCACACGGACCCAGTGTTTATCAGATCTGACGATTCAGATTTATTTTTATTTTTTAAAAATAATTATTTTAATAGATATAAGATAAAAAATAAAATAATCTTTTAATTATCATTTTTTAAAAATATAATTTTTTTATTTTAAAATAATTATTTAATAATATTAAATCTCAACTATTCATATTAGATTGTCCAGATCTGAACGGTTCGGATTAGTCACCGGCTGATGAGAACCGAATGCGAACGAATGGGACCCCAGTCCACACCCATCTCTTTCCGTGTATCTATATAAACCCCATCCCCCGGATCCTCAACAGTTATCCGCTCCTTCACTGTTTTCAGGTCAATATCATATTCTCTGTGTTAGCTTCGTGAGAGTCTTAGAACAATGGATTCCGAGCGCGGGCGTCAGGAGGGTGGTGGCCACCAGCAGTACTCCACCAGTGAGCTTATGTCCAGCGCCAAGGTGGTGGCCGAGGCGGCTCAGTCAGGCTTCGGCAAGGAATCCGGCAGCGTGGACAAGGCCAAGGTGGCGGAAGCGGCCGGTGATCTTCTCGGGGCAGCTCGTCAGTACGGCAAGCTGGACGAGAAGGGCGTGGGGCAGTACGTTGAGAAGGCTGAGGATTACCTTGAAAAGTACGGCAGCGGCGGCGGCGGAGGCCACCAGTCGGATAAACCATCAGAAGAGTCAAAGCCAGAAGGTCAGTCTGAAAGCGGCGGCGCCGGCGGATTCATGAAGATGGCTCAAGGCTTCATGAAGTGATCTTAATAATTAAAGTTAATTATGTGAAGAGTAACGTGAAAGGGTTTTATATGTGTAGTGGTGGTGTGAGTGAGAGCCAGAGGCATATAACTGGAAACTGGAGGAAGCTTAGCTTCAGTAGTGGTGATGTGTGCGTCTGATGCTTGATCTGTTACGATCTATGATCTTATGAGTCCATTAAATAAGTGCGTATTGTTGTTTGTATTTTGTATCTGTTCTCCTGAACTATATATCTAGATATAATATTTGGATATTTGGATTACTGAGTCTGACATAACTGAAATACCGATATATGAGGTTGAGGAAGCTTCTTTCCACACTTTTTTTGACCGGAACCTTTCCGCACTGAAATACCGTTAAAGATATAAACATCAAAATTTTGAAGGGGTTTGGTTTTTAAAAAAGCTGCTGCGCTTAATTGTGTTTAATTTAATGTAAGAACAAGTTGGGGTTAGATTTAGCTTTAAATATAAAAAATTAATATATTTTATCTTTCTTGTTTTTTACAAATTAAATATCTCCATTCATTATAAAGAATTTTTATCTAATCATTCAATGCACATAGCTTAAAGAAATAGTTTAGGGTGACACATAATTAACTAGTTTTTTTTAATATCTTTAAATGAATTATCTAATTTTTATATTAAAAAATAAAGATAGTAAAATATTTCTTCATTTTTATCCTAATTATATGTCAATCATATATTTTTTCACTCATTTCCACTCATTCCCCCCCCCCCCCTACTCTCCACTTACTGTCCCCATATCTGTAAATAACAGTGTTAAGTCGCTTTTTTCAATAACGCGTTAGCAGTGTGGGGACAACGGATAAGAACGGCCAATAACGGAAATGTTCAAACACAATTACAAAAGCGCGTGGCTGATAGTCATGAACAAGCGCCACCGACACCTTCCAGTACCTTTTTTTTTTTTTGCCCCCAAAATACTTGCAAGTCCCCTCAACTTTATAGTCTTAAAAATTATGCCCTCAACTGTTATATTTTTAACATTTGCCTCCCCACCACTGCCATTGAAAATGGTTGATATTAAAATCAAAAGCCTCTTCATCTTTCAGTGCGCGTCCAGAAGGAAATCCTCATCAAAACAGCTTTATAATTGTTCTCTAATCTTTTTCATTTCTCTAATCACGTAACAAAGATATGTGCTCCTGGAAACAATTAGATATCTATGAGAATTTGACCTTTTTTTTTTGACCAGTATGAGAATTTGACCTTGTTACTTTGACCAACCATACACTAAAATACTCCATTGGTTCTATCCACACAGAGGAGGTTTTTTTTAATCTTATTTATAAATTATTTTATTAAAGTTTTAACATGAATATACTATTTTATCTTTTATTTATTATGGTATAAATAATTATTTTTTAAAACATGTATATATTAAATAAAATAAAATTAAAAAATTATTATATTTTAACATAGATTAATACAATTTAAAATTTTTTTATCCTTATAAAATATGTTGAGAGTTTTTTATAAATAAGATCGGACAAAAACAAGAATATAAATAATAAAAAAATATATTTGCTCCCGAACGCGCAAACGAGTAAACCGCCTGGTGCTCACCTACTATTTAATAGAAAATCAATCCCAAAGCCCCAATCACTTCATTCTCATTTCTCTTCCTCCTTCAATTTCGACGAATTTTCTCTCTAATCTTTTCTATTGCAGCTATGGATTCCGATCCGACCCGCCGCCACGGCCATTCGCGCCAGCAACACGCCTCCAGCGAGCTTCTTTCCAGCGCCAAGGTGGTTGCTCAGGCGGCCCAGGCCACTTTCCGCCACGAATCCGGCAAAGTCGACAAGGCTCAGGTCGCCCATGCCGCCGGCGATCTTCTCGAGGCAGCTTGTCACTACGGCAAATTGGAGGATAAGTCCTTTGGGAAGTACGTTGACAAGGCCGAGGATTACCTTCACAAGTACGGCGGCTCCTCCCACAACGCCGTCGGTGGCGCACATTCCGACCATCCGACCGCCGCCAGTTCGCACTCCACAAAACCGGATCATCAGTCACATGGGCAGGGGGATTACTTGAAGATGGCTCAAGGGTTCTTGGGATCGGGCTCGAAAGCTGATTCTCACTCGTCAAAACCAGGCCACTCGGAAAGTGGCGGCGGCAGCGGCGGCTACCAGGATTACTTGAAGTTGGCTCAAGGCTTCCTGAAAAAGTGATGGGATTGTTTTTGTGAAATCTGTATGTAGTTTGTCGGTTTTACCATAGAGACATATTTGCTGGTATGATTCTTCTGATCTGGTATGGAATTCCACTTCTTGCTTCGTAACTTCAATTCATCGTATGTGATGTATTGTTCCTCAAAAGGCTCAAACTCTGGTTTGAATATATATATGTATATATATATCATGTGCTCAATTTTTAGTTGTTATGTCAATCAAAAAGTAGGATGCAGTGGAGAAGAATCTTGGAAGTGGACAGAGATGTCTCTATGTTGCGATGAATCAATAAATGGATATTGAGTAACAGTAAAGATAAGATAATTCCCTTGATTTGATTCGAGGAGTGACTTCAATTGCTTAGCAAGTATTGATTCTTGGCACCCCATTCTCTAAATAAAATGTGCCTTTAACAGCAGCATAGTTTTTTTTAAAAAAAATAAATTTCATTTAACAGTTTTGATTAAACTGGAAGAAAAATGCTATCTCATGATTAACTAAATAATAAATTGAAAGAAAAAAATTGTTTAAAGGAAAATCCTATTAATGCTTCACCGTTCACAGAAACATACTTTGTTTTGTTGTATCCGTACCTTGTGTCTCTATAAATCCGACCAAGTCACAAAGCTGTGATTTGTATGCCATTTCCTATGTTTACCCTATCTACCCTCTATCGTAAAATTTTAATTTGGTCAACATCAATTTCAGTGAATTAGGTTATGTTCCCTTTTGTGTGATACTTTGCATTGCTTGAATTCTTATTTCGGTTCATGCATTGATCTCAAGACTTATTGTTTCTTTGACACCATTATACATTACTCTCTCCGTTCCTTATTATAAGAGACAAATAACCAAATTACGTTGATAAAAAAACAGTTAAAATTAGTTGAGGACAATTAATGTGTAAAAAGTATAATGTTTTTTTCCAACAATGCCCCTATTAATAAGGAGAGAGAGTATGAGAGAGAACAATTAAATTATTAAAAGAAAGAGAAGTGGGAGGAAGAGAGAATATAAGTTGGAGACAAAATAAATAGGGGTAAAATAGGAAATCAATACAAAAAACTAGAGACAACTTTTAAATGTCTTTTATATATGGGAACATGCTATAAGCATCAAATGTCTCTTATAATAAGGACGGAGGGAGTATATTATAAAAGGTTTCTAGAAGCAAGTAACGCTATCTCAAAAATTTAACTCGAATTCCTTTCTGGCAATTAATAACTCGTCAACTCTCTTTGATATAGCAGAGAAAACACTGTGATTCATTATGTAAATTCTATCTTAGGCAGCTCGGTATTTGTCTACATTATTGCAATTTCAAAGTACATGTAATCATATATTACAATTTCCTTTTATTTATGTAAATATTTCAAAGCTAATTCACTAGAACCGGAGGTAGTATTATTATTTTATTTTAAAAAAATACTTTTTCGTCAATTTTTTTAACAAAAATTTATGATGTAAAAATTAGAGCTAAAGATGAAAGTCAAATCAATATTTAGACAATTTTAATGAATGAGTTTTAAAAAGTGACTTGTATTAAGATCTGGATGGAATTTATATACACAAGCTCTTTACTTGTTGCAATTTGCATTTATTTTTCTCAGGGTTGTGTAGTGCGTTTGCAGAAAATTGTGACACAAAGACTAAAACAATGTTGGTTGAAGTCATATTTGATTTGAATGTATGTTGGAATGGCCAGAAAACACTTTTGAAAATTATTTTCACACAAATCAAGAGAAATTTTTTTCATATATTTACTTACGTTAATATGTATCTAGCATCACGAGGAGTGAACTCAAAATACGCTGTGATACATCTAGCACCTTAAAGTATTTTTTTTACTTGCGTTTAGCGATGTAAAGTATCTTTTGATGAATTCAGCACCTCATAGTATTTTTTTAAGTATATCTAGTACTCAAAAATATTTTGGAATGCTAAGTAAACCTAAACTATATTTATTTTGCATATCATAAATTATTTTTTAAAATCATGATTTTGATATCAAACCGCTCTTGCTTATCGACATTGTGTGACCTGGGTTGTTGAAGAGGCCAACACCAACATTTATTAAAATCGGTAAAACTCGTGACGGATATGTTCCATTTTAAATATCCCAACAACTAACGTAAGAAAATTAATATTCATCGAAAAAATAAAAAAAATAAAAAACAGAAGAAAATGAAAGAGGACAATACAAACAAGGACGCGTGGCCGACATAAAGGGAACCTATACTCAGCCATACCATCAGTAATTAAACAAAACAAAGGGCAGAGGGCCCAACAAAACAACGAAACGAAAGCAAGCAGAGGGCCAACGCAAAGATTGATTCAGATACAACTTACAATGGACATGATCATATATAGGTTCGAATTTTATTATTAGCAGTACTTAACGTAAAAATTAATTAAAAATTAAATTTAATTTCAAATATAATTTATTTTATTTTCTGTTTTTTAATCAAATATCTCTACTAAACATAAAAGTTCTTACAAGAGGATAATTTCAATAATTTAATGTAAGAGAATATTTGAAAAAGATCAATATATATTTGTGATAAATAATCAAATTAACTAATTTTTTAAATATTTTTAAATTAATTATCTAATACTGAGATTAAAGTATAAGTAAAACTAAACTTACAATTTTAACTAACAAAAATAGGCACAGTAAGTGAGGGAAGCACAGCCAACACTCAATTCATGCAAATATTTGTGATAATAATAGAGGAAGCAAAAGGACGACAAAGAAACGTGTCAGCCACTAAGGCCATGTTTGGTAGGAGGGATTGATTTTGATGGAATGGGAATGGGATTGGAAATGGTAATGGTAATGGTAATGGAATTGGGAATGGGGCTTTTATTTTATGTTTGGTAGGAGGTAATATGTGGAAGGAATACATGCATTTATTTTATTCATAATAAAATATATAAAATTAAAAGATTATAATACCCCTTGGTATTTTAGAGATTGGGACTCCAACCTTATACACTCCTCGTCTAATAAAAAAGGAAACTGCATGATCATATATGTTGTTTTAAAAATAAACACATTAAATTTTTACTCATTTTACAATAATAAATAAATAAATAATAGATTAAATATTTTAAAAATCAGAAATAGATTTCTATCGTATCCCAACAAATTTATATACAAAAAAAAAGTAATAAAAAAACAATACTTCCTTAAAATTTATCCCAACGAATTATTAATAATTCCTTAAAATTATAAAATTTTTATTAGAAAAAGTTATCACTAGATCCTTAAAATTATAATCTTCTTAAAATTTAGTAATACATTTTGAAATTAATAATATGTAAGATCAAAAGATAAGAAGCAAATAACAGTTCTTACTATAATTTTTTGTAATATAAGTTCAAGATAATCTATATCTTACATCAAACAGTTATCAAAATACTCTTATCTCAAACAAAATATTTTAAGTCTGTAATAGAATATTCCTGTTTGAAATAAAATATTTCAAGCCTGTAACAAAATATACATTGTCTTAACATTATTCTAATATGGGTATTTTTGTCTTTTATGCGTTTTAGTCCCAGGATTAAAACGCATTACCGGGGAGAAGGTAGGATTGTATAATCCCACCAATGTGGCATCGCTCAATCCTGGTAATCTTTAATCCCTCCTACCAAACATGACAAAATCACTCAATCCTTCCTCCAATCCCATTCCCTCCCCCTCAATCCCTCTTACCAAACGTGGCTTAAGTCCAAAATGAGGGTCCCCAGAAAACACGCAAAATACGAAATATCTCATCGTCCACCGCCACACCTTCTTATCCATCACCCATGTGGATTCTCCACATCCACTCATACATATTATATCTTTTTTTTTTTTTTGGTCAACTTACATATCATATCTTCACTCTCATTATTTCTCAACATCCATCCGCGCCCATCTCTTTCTATATATATGTATATATACATATAAAGCCCATCCCCGGGATCTTCAACGGTTATCCACTCCTTCACTGTTTTCAGTTCAATATCATATTCTCTCTGTGTTAGCTTTGTGAGAGTCTGAGAATAATGGATTCCGAACGCGGGCGTCAGGAGGGACACGGTGGTGCCGACCAGCAGTACTCCACCAGTGAGCTTATGTCCAGCGCCAAGGTGGTGGCCGAGGCGGCGAAATCAGGCTTCGGCAAGGAATCCGGCAGCATGGACAAGGCCAAGGTGGCGGAAGCGGCCGGTGATCTTCTAGGGGGAGCTCGTCAGTACGGCAAGCTGGAGGAGAAGGGCGCGGGGCAGTACGTTGAGAAGGCTGAGGATTACCTTCATAAGTACGGCAGCGGCGGCGGTGGAGGCCACCAGTCGGAGAAACCATCAGAAGAGTCAAAGCCAGAAGGTGAGTCTGAAAGCGGCGGCGCCGGCGGATTCATGAAGATGGCTAAAGGCTTCATGAAGTGATATTAATAATTAAAGTGAAAGCGGCGGCGCCGGCGGATTCATGAAGATGGCTCAAGGCTTCATGGAGTGATATTAATAATTAAAGTTAATTATGTGAAGAGTAGCGTAAAAGGGTTTTATGTGTGCAGTGGTGGTGTGATTGAGAGTTAGAGGCATATTTATAACTGGAAACGGGAGGAAACTTGTGTCTGTAGTGATGTGTGCGTACGATGCTAGACCTGCTGTTACGAGCTATGATCTTACGAGTCCATTAAATAAGTGTGTATTGTTGTTTGTATTCCGTATCTGCTCTCCTGAGCTATATATACATATATATATATATATAGACATAATATTTGGATACTTGGATTACTGAGTCTTGTTCCCACGAGACAAAACTGAAATGCTGATCTATGAGGTCGAAGAAGCTTCTTTTGAGTTCTTGGCTTGCTTTCCGCACTTTTTTTCGACCGGAAGCTTTTCACGCTGAGATACCGTCAAAAATATAAACATCCAACTTCTGAAGGGGTTGGGTTTTTCAAAAAGCTGCTCCTTGTTGTGGTTAATATGAGAAGCAGTTGGTATCAGATTTGATGTTAACTAATGAAATTCAATTTTTTTTATTTTTTATTTTTTCATAAATTATACTCCTCGGTCCTTATTATAAGATCCAATTTGACTTTTTATTTGGTTCTAATTATAAGACCCATCTATTTTCTCTCTTATATTTATGCATTTTTTTCCAAGATAATCCTTCTAATAATGATAGTTTTAGCCAATATACTTAATTAGCAAGGATATTTTAGGAATAACAATACTTATTATTATAAATAACCAACTTAACTTACTTCCTAATCTCCTCAAATAAGTCAATTGGGTCTTATAATTAGGATCGGAGGAGTATATCTCTATTAATAGTAAGGATTTTTTATTAAAGAATAATTCTAATAATTTAATGTACACGATTTAAAAAAATATTATAGAAAGATCAATACATATTTGTAACAAATAATTAATTTAATTATTTTTTTTACTATTCTTAGATTATTTATCTAATTCTTCTATTAAAAATAAAAAATAGTATAATATGAATTTGTCTTATTATTTACTACCTCCTATCCTTAATATAAGACTTTGTTTAACTTTTATTTTGATCATAAATATAAGATTCCAATCTATTTTGTCTCTCATATTTATACATTTTTTTTAAAGTAACCATTGTAACAATAATAATTCTAGTCAATACACTTGATTAGTAAGGATATTTTAGGAAAGACAACACCTATTTAAGACAAATAACTAATTTAACCTACTTTCCTAATCTCCTCAAATTAATCAACTAGCTCTTGTAATTAGGACTGGAAGTAGTAATATATTTTTTCATTTTTATCCTAATTATATATCAATCATATATTTTTTTGGCCCATTCTCATTCCGTCCCCCCACCCCTAATAATAGCACATGAGCAGTGCGGGGACAACGGATAAGAACGGTCAATAACGGGAATGTCCAAACACACAATTACAAAAGCGCGTGGCTGACATTCATGAACAAGCGCCACCGACACGTTCCAGTTTTTTTTGTTTTTGCCCCGAAGTACCTGTAAGTTCCCTTATCTTTGTAATCTTAAAAATTATGCCCTCAACTTTTATATTTTTATCATTTAACTCCCTACCGCTGCCATTGAAAATGGCAGATATTAAATAAAAAAACCTCTTCATCTTTCAGGGACACATCCAGAGGAAAATCCTCATCAACACAGCTTTATAATTGTTCTCTAATCTTTTTCATTTCTCTAATCACGCAACAAAGAGATTTGTTCATGATAATTTGACTTTATCATTTTGACCAAAGATATGCTAAAATAATAGAGATAAGGATATAAATAGGGAAAATTTCACTGTAGGACCGCAGAAGACAAATAATTTCAAAGAGCCCCCAAAACTTTCTGAAACCTCACTGCAGGACCAAGGGACCAATCTGATATTAATTTTTAGAGTGAGATTACAATAATACCCCTCCCTTTTTATTTTATTAAAAAATAAATATTTACCGGAGTTATTGTTCCGGCCACCGGAGGTCGGAGGTCCGGCCACCGGCGCTCAGGTGGCCGCCGTCGGGGTCCGGTCACCGGTGGCCGGAACAGTAACTCCGGCGGACCTCCGGTGGCCGGAGTTTTTTTGTTTAAAACAAAGTGGCCAAGGGAGGGTTTGAACCCAGGACCCCTTGGCACACCAAAAGACTTGTAACCACCAAGCCAAGCAACCCATTCAATCATAAAATGCAAATAAAACTATATATAACAAAATAAACGCAACAGTCCAAATGTAAGTGAACAAGTGAAATTAGACGATTTACAAGTGGAATTCAGAAATTTGCAACAAAAATTAGGCAATTTACAAATAACATAATAGAAGTCATAACCCAAAATGCAAGTATTTAAGTGCAAATGAGCAAGTAAAATTTATAATAAAAGTTTATGGATTTACAACCCAAATTTGGTAAACACAAGAGAATTTACAACCCAAAATGTAAGTGTTTGAGTGTAAGTGAACAAGTGAAATTAGACGATTTACAAGTGGAATTCAGTAATTTACAACAAAAATTAGGCAATTTACAAATAACATAATGGAACTCACAATCCCAAATACAAGTGTTTAAGTGTAAATGAGCAAATAAAATTTGAAGATTTACAACAAAAGTTTATAGATTTGCAAGTGAAATTCGACAATTTCACTTGCTCATTTGCACTTAAACACTTGCATTTGGGGTTATGACTTCTATTATGTTATTTGTAAATTGCCTAATTTTTGTTGTAAATTGCTGAATTCTACTTGTAAATCGTCTAATTTCACTTGTTCACTTACACTCAAACACTTACATTTTGGGTTGTGAATTCTCTTGTGTTAGCCAAATTTGGGTTGTAAATCCATAAAATTTTATTGTAAATCTTTAAATTTCACTTGCTCATTTGCACTTAAACACTTGCATTTGGGGTTATGACTTCTATTATGTTATTTGTAAATTGTCTAATTTTTGTTGTAAATTGCTGAATCACACTTGTAAATCGTCTAATTTCACTTGTTCACTTACACTCAAACACTTACATTTTGGGTTGTGAATTCTCTTGTGTTTGCCAAATTTGGGTTGTAAATCCATAAAATTTTATTGTAAATCTTCAAATTTCACTTGCTCATTTGCACTTAAACACTTGCATTTGGGGTTATGACTTCTATTATGTTATTTGTAAATTGCCTAATTTTTGTTGTAAATTTCTGAATTCCACTTGTAAATCGTCTAATTTCACTTGTTCACTTACATTTGGACTGTTGCGTTTATTTTGTTATATATAGTTTTATTTGCATTTTATGATTGAATGGGTTGCTTGGCTTGGTGGTTACAAGTCTTTTGGTGTGCCAAGGGGTCCTGGGTTCAAACCCTCCCTTGGCCACTTTGTTTTAAACAAAAAAACTCCGGCCACCGGAGGTCCCGCCGGAGTTACTGTTCCGGCCACCGGTGACCGGACCCTGACGGCGGCCACCTGAGCGCCGATGGCCGGACCTCCGACCTCCGGTGGCCGGAACAATAACTCCGGTAAATATTTATTTTTTAATAAAATAAAAAGGGAGGGGTATTATTGTAATCTCACTCTAAAAATTAATATCAGATTGGTCCCTTAGTCCTGCAGTGAGGTTTCAGAAAGTTTTGGGGGCTCTTTGAAATTATTTGTCTTCTGCGGTCCTACAGTGAAATTTCCCCATATAAATAATAATAAAAATATATTTGCGCCCGAACGCGGAAACGAGAGCAAAAGACCTGATGCCCACCTACTATTTAATAGAAGATCAATAATCCCAAAGCCCCAATCACTTCATCTTCATTCTCATTTTTCTTCCCCCTTCAATTTCTCTCTGCAAAATCCTATCTTCTTTTGACAAATTTTCTCTCTAATCTCTTCTATTGCAGCTATGGATTCCGATCCGACCCGCCGCCACGGCCATTCGCACCAGCAGCACTCCTCCAGCGAGCTTCTTTCTAGCGCCAAAGTGGTTGCTCAGGCAGCCCAGGCCACTTTCCGCCACGAAACGGGCAAAGTCGACAAGGCCCATGCCGCCCATGCCGCCGGGGATCTTCTCGAGGCCGCTTGTCACTACGGCAAATTGGAGGATAATTCCTTTGGGAAGTACGTTGACAAGGCCGAGGATTACCTTCACAAGTACGGCAGCTCCTCCCACAATCCCGTCGTTGGCGCACCTTCCGACCATCCGACCGCCGCCAGCACGCACTCCACAAAACCGGATCATCAGTCACATGGGCAGGGGGATTACTTGAAGATGGCTCAAGGGTTCTTGGGATCGGGCTCGAAAGCTGATTCTCACTCGTCAAAACCAGGCCACTCGGAAAGTGGCGGCGGCAGCGGCGGCTATGGGGATTACTTGAAGTTGGCTCAAGGCTTCCTGAAAAAGTGATGGGTTTGTTTTTGTGAAATCTGTATGGAGTTTGTGGGTTTTACCATAGATATATATTTGCTGTTATTCTTCTGATCTGGTGAGGAATTCCAACTTCTTGCTTTGTGACTTCAATTCATCATATGTGATGTATTGCTCCTTAAAAGGCTCAAACTCTGTTTTGAATATCTATATATATATTTATGTATATATCATGTGTTCAATTTTTAGGTGTTATGTCAACCAAAAAGTAGGATGTAATGGAGAAGAATCTTGAAGGTGGACAGAGATGTCTGTGTGTTACGATGAATCAATAAATGGATATTAAGTAACAGTAAAGATAAGATAATTCCCTTGATTTGATTCGAGGAGTGACTTCAATTGCTTAGCAAGTATTGATTCTTGGCACCCTATTCTCTAAATAAAATGTGCCTTTAACAGCAGCATAGTTTTTAAAAAAATAAATAAATTTCATTTAACAGTTTTGATTAAACTGGAAGAAAAATGCTATCTCATGATTAACTAAATAATAAATTGAAAGAAAAAAATTGTTTAAAGGAAAATCCTATTAATGCTTCACAGTTCACAGAAACATACTTTGTTTTGTTGTATCCGTATCTTGTGTCTCTATAAATCCGACCAAGTCACAAAGCTGTGATTTGTATGCCATTTCCTATGTTTACCCTATCTACCCTCTATCGTAAAATTTTAATTTGGTCAACATCAAGTTCAGTGAATTAGGTTATGTTCCCTTTTGTGTGATACTTTGCATTGCTTGAATTCTTATTTCGGTTCATGCATTGATCTCAAGACTTATTGTTTCTTTAACACCATTATGCAGTATATTATACAAGGTTTCTAGAAGCAAGTAACGCTATCTCAAAAATTTAACTCGAATTCCTTTCTGGCAATTAATAACTCGTCAACTTTCTTTGATATGGCAGAGAAAACACTGTGATTCATTATGTAAATTCTATCTTAGGCAGCTCGGTATTTGTCTACATTATTGCAATTTCAAAGTACATGTAATCATATATTACAATTTCTTTTTTTTTTTTTGGTTGCACTTGCTTTTCTTTCCTCGTATAAAAAGATAAAAATCATCCGAATTCCGAAGACATGTCGTTTCGTAACAGATGTTAGTTAAGAATTTGTAAATTAAACAATGAAAGACATATTTACGGGTTGCTTCTTGTTCCTCCAACCCCAGTGATGCTGCACATAATTGGTGATCTCAGAAGCAGGGGCATGCTCCTGGAAGCTTGCCAGTTGTTCTGATTACTTCTGCCTTTTCTCTAACTTTGCGCTCTTCATTCTTTCGTCTTTCTTCTGCTTCAGCACTTGCAGCCCTAACAATCCCATTAATATATTCCATATCACTCTGGAATTTCGTGTACGCTTTTCGCCTTTCCTTCTCAGAACTCCTCATCTGTTTCAAAAAGTTTTTTGAGCACACAATGCACTGAGTTTCTAATTTTAATCAAGCATAAAAAAATAATGGATGAGTGAAAGGAACCTCTTTCTTCTCCAAGTTGCGTCTGGCTTTTGCCTTCTTCTTGTTTTCCCATGCATGTATTGTCTCCTTCAACCTTTCATACCTGGCATGCATTTTCCATCAGCAACTTAAGAAGTGCATGCGATGCTTGAATCAAGATATTGCCAATCAATATTAAATGCGTGCAAAGTAACACCACGGCCATGTATGCACCTTTCTTTTATCGCTTCAAGCTGTTCTCTCTCCCAAGCAGCTGCTTTTTGTTCATTGGGGTTCTGTCTTCTTGGTGGAGTGGGTGGTTTTGGAGGGCCAGGCTTTATGGAATTATTCCTCACTTGTGGTCCTCGTGGTTGTGGCGGCAGCGGTGGCGGAGGAGGAGGAGGAGGCATTAGCCTTGAAGATGGAGACTTAATTGCTTGTGGGATCGCAAGATTTGTTTCTTCAGTTTTCTTCAAGTTCGAATCACCAAAAGACTGGGTCTTTCTTGGCGGTGGGAACTCAGGTTTATCATCATCCCCTTTGAAATGGTCACTAGGAGCTGAAGTTTTCTTCATTGATGATGCCGGGGTGAGAGTCTTTTCCGGCTTTTCTTCATCCGTGACCGGAAATATTGGCACCTTGTTGAATGAACCTGCATGTGAAGTAGAAGCAGTTCGTTATCATTTCGGATCTCTTCTGTAAGGACGAAAATGATAAATCTAGTTTTCTATAGATGACTTTACCTGAGAGTTTCCTGGATAAACCACCAACTTTGCTTTTGGTCTTGGTCAATAAGCTCTCAGGGCCTTCACTAGTCTTCCGTTCAGAGAAATATTGTGAGGTTATGGCGACTGCGGCAGCTGTAATTGCAGTAGCGTGTTCCATTTCTTGAGAATCATAGTCATTACTCATTTTTCTCAAAAACTGCCTTGGGAACCAATTCTGGGCCTTCTTCTCTGAAAAAATTGACGTGCAAAATGGGTAACGCATACAAATGGTAGGAAAAGAAAAACAATCTTATTGACCATGTGTTTCACTCTCTGTTCGTCATCTTCCTCATCATCATCATCATCAAGAAACCATTGTAATGTGAACGAGGAATGTTTGTTTTTTCTACTGGGATATGGGAAAGTCGGTTGCTAAAAAAGAACTTTTTTTTGCTTTTTGTTCATTAGCAACCGTTCTTGGTTAATACAGGAATTAAAACTACGGAGAGAATAAAGTGCCTCACCTTTCTGTGAGGGTATTTTCTGAACCCTGATGCCACTCAGATCAGCTCTGTTCTCCTCCTCTGCACCAGTAAATATCGACCTAAGGAAGGGGTTCAAGATTAACTTGATCATATTTACGAACTCTAATCAGTAAATTTGTATTTTATTCACAGCAGATTTGATAATTATGAACTCTATTTCCTTGAGGCAAAATCAGTTCAATTCATTATCAGATCAGACACCTGGGCTCTTTTAAAGCTTGATCACATAACTGCAAACTAAATCTCGATAACATAGTAGAATTATGCAATCTTATGGGTATTATAGCAACTAAAAAACGTATGCATGCAAAGCCTCTGTCCATTTGAAGAGGTTTGTTTATTCAAATATATGTAAACACTAACACGGCTACCGGCACATGTCGCGCCATTTCCAAGGTAAAATGTCACGGTGACATACCTGATCTGATTCATCAAATTCTCCATGAGATGTCTGTTTTGAGGTGTTCCCTTTTTGTGAGCAATACCTTATCTATCCACATGGTGGTGCTTATTTGAAGGAGAAGAAACCTGGGGCAAGCAAGGTTGGATATGCTTTGCATGAACTTTCTGGTTTGGAACTCTAGTGCCTTTTGGGTGAAGACAGGTATTATATCCTCTCTAGAGACTTTCCTTTCAGTGCAGAGGATCCTGTTATTTGACCTTCTTAACCTCATGTCGCAATCCAGATTTATCAGTTCACATTTCGAAGAATCTTGAGTCTTCCAAGAAAAGGATGTTAGATTGTCGTTCAAGTTACCCTAGGAATATTCTCAAACACCCTGAATTAAAAATATAACAAACTATTGGTTTCCATGATTCTTTAAGCAGCAATTTATCAGAAAATGTCGTCACAGGTCAATCTGAAAGTAGATTTGTTCAGACAGGAAGGAGGAGACACACAAAGCAACTTTCCTACTTTACTCATTGAATAAGCTTGCGCACCGGACACACATTAACAGAAGCATTTAGTCTCCATATGTATTACCATGAAAGGTGAGACGAGCCACTATTACTGACAACTATAAGACCAAGATGAACGATTAATTTTATTGATGGAAATCAAATTGTACAAAATTGAACCTAGCTGGCTAATTCTTTGAGATTGTTAAGACGAACTATTTTTTCAAATTAAACAAGCAAACTCCATCGGGGAAAATAAGAGAGTGTAATGAGCTGCTTAAACAAGGAAGTCTGTGTCGGAAACTTCAAGGACTCTATGAACACCAATAGGGCTTACATCGGCCCGAAATGCATTTCCTTCAACGTACCTGAGGAGGAAAAGAGCATATGATTACTCAGTTCAGTGAGAAAGATGACAATGAGTGGTTCGCTATTTCTGAAGGTTTATAAACCTCACATTTCTTTCAAGAATGGATGCTTATAAAAGGCATCCGGTATTCTGCCTGTAAATTGGTTATGATCCAAGTACCTGAAATCAAGATTTAGAAAAAACCTTAACTCTCCGGTAATCGACAGTGATGACAAACGTATTTCCTGCCAACATATATAAAAACGAGAAGTATAGAACTTGTGCTCCATTTTGCTTTTCGCGTGAGGAAGAAAATTTGAACCCAAGTATGGAGGATCATGGTAGCACATTAAGACTGATTTTTTTTCACCTTGTTTCGCCAACATGAGCAAAATTCCTTGCGAAGGACATTTTTACTCAAAAGTTCAAATTCTAGAATGAAAGACATCAATATGTCGAGAAAACACAACGTCGTTTTTAATCAAAGGTGACAGGCAATTCTGAAAGTATCCTTCTACAAGCAGTCCGGCAGAACTATAAACAAGTTGGAAGAGAACTTACAAGTATGTCAACTTAGGAATATTAGCGAGGCTAGAAGGTACAACTCCTGACATTTTGTTATAGGATAAGTACCTGTCACCAACAAACAAATTTATTGAAAATTCTTAATTCCAAGCAATACAACTGGCTGAATAATCACACTGCAACATCGAGTTCACTCAATGTTAGGGAAGTATCTGGACATTGACATGAATTCGTCATCACAAAATAATACCACCAAATTTCACCCAAAAAAAATAAAAATAATACCACCAACTGTGATATGCTGCCTAATATGAAAATTATATGAAAGTTTGGCATGTGTTAACATAAGCACAATCTCCCTTTCCCAGTGTCCATGCTTCAAAGTCCAAGAGCATCAAACTATTACTGGATATTTCTCCCAAGTTATTGGAATTTTCCTTTATAATATTTTAAGAATTCCTAAGGTCTGTGCATTTTTTGATTATTTGAATATAGTTGTAGTTACGTAATTTCCTGTTTTAGGTTAACTCTGTCCAACAGCTCTATAAATCGCTCATGCGCATATTTAGAGATTTTTGCCATAAGACATAGTAACCCGCATAGTATCAGAAGCAAAACTTTCGTGAGAAGAAGAAGGAGAAGATAGAAGTAGGAGGAGAAATACAGAGGGGAAGAATGAAAGACAAAACTCACAAGATTTCAAGACTGGACAGGTTTGCAAGGTTCGCAGGTATGCCTCCGGTAATATAATTATTATTTAGATATCTGAATATCAAGACAACGAAAAGGAGCAGGGTTTATTCAGAGAACTAAGAGAAGAAAGACTTTTGTGAGGGTAAAGTCAGCATGAGTGGATTTAGTACATATCCACCAACTACAAATAACCTACAGGTTGCGCATTGCTGGAAAGCAGCCTTCAATGCGAATGAGTTCTCTTATGGTACCAACCAAATGATTGTTACCAACATCCCTACAAACGTAAATAGTGTGAGATATCACAGACTTTGCTTCCAAATAAGATGTGCTTAAATAAATTTCATGCTTACAGGTGTCGCAGGTTTGCAAGGGAGCCCAATTCTGGTGGAATTCTTCCACTAAAACGGTTTTTATGAAGATAAAGGTAGCGAAGCTCCTGAAGATTGGCAAGCTCGTTGGGAATTTCTCCCTTGAAATTATTGAAGCTCAGGTATCTGCATAAGTGTAAAATATCTTGATTGTAAATATAAATGAGAATGAAGTGAAAAAACAGGGAGGTACAGGTTGCCAAGTAGGTTAAGGTTATTTACAGATGTGTTAAACTCTTGAGCTGACCAATTTCTGGGGGAATCGCATCCTGTAGTTTATTCCACCTCAAATTTCTGGAAGGAAACTAAGGTCGGTCGGCATGAACAAAAGTCATTGGAAGATCAGCAATTGCTTTAACAAGACATTCTCTTCATGAGTTTACAAAAGCTATTGAATTAAAGGTCTTCACTAGATTGCTATTTTTTGACCAAATTCACTACATTGCAAAGTTTTAAGGAAGAACAACATTCTAATGCATCATCTCAAAAATTAAGTATTAGATCAAATAAAAGAGAGGAACCAGTTTCAATGAAGGATAAGATGAGTTTACAGTATTTTTAGACGCTTCAACCGTTCAATTTGAGGAGGAATAGGCCCTGTCAACTTGTTATTATGCAGATCCCTGCCACAACACAATCCATAAGAGACCAGAAGGTTGTAGCAAAATGGAGGCACTTTAGTGCTTGGGAACACTATCATTCATCTTGTTAACATTTGAATCTTGACTCCATTTGGAGGGTTTGAGAAAGAAGCAGGGTACATCATGTAAAGAGACCTGGTATCAAGAATGCATGCGGTATGATCCATTACTTCGAAACATATCAACATGTTCCGAATTGTTCCTTGTTCCGAAATAACTCAAAAAGGATCTACATATGATGTATAGCAAATTACATTATTTATATGTTATCAAGAGTACAACATACCTTACATTTCATATAAAATATGAGCCTATTATAATCTAGTTATAAATTGAAATTTTAGTTTAAATTGTTTTGTACTTTCATTGATAACTTGTTGTGTATATCCTATTTTACATTTGAAATGCTTGCTTATGATTCAAATCTTTATGTTCATTTTTTCATGCATTAAATCATTTTATTTTCACACACACGGTCATTCTACGTCAATGTTAAAAATTATTGTAATTCCATATCCTGCCTCACATCATATTCGATAAGAGTTCTATCTCATACTCTGTCAGGGCTCCTCAAATTCGGGCCTCACTATCACTAAAAAACTAATGCAAAAGAAAACCACAATTGCTTTCCCTGATTATATACAATTAAGAACCCATTTAGAATGACTTGTAAATAATTTTTCAATTATAATTTACAAAATATGAAATAAATCTATAAGAAAAATTTTATTCCGATTTACGTAAAATATTTTTATAGGTGTTTATGAATATGATTCCAATTTCCAAATAGGCCCTAAGAGTTTCAGTCCCAAAAAAAAAAAGGCATAAGAGGATCTTCTGCTACTACTTCAAGACGCATCATCAAGATTTGAAGCTTTAAGCTTTTTTTCTCTCCTGAATTTCTTTAAAAAGAACCTTACAGCCGTGTAAGATCCAACAAGCTGGTTACTGCAGTAGGGAATGGTCCCACAATGGAAACCGCATAAACCTCACTGCAAATACAACGACAAGAATCAATCAAAATCCATCCATAGACTCCAATCTTCATCTCGAATATCACAATAATGTCACTCTTCAATCTTCGGAGATAGTTGGAGTTGAAAGATAAAAAGCTTTTATTCGAGAGAATATCTAAGGCTGGAGAGGAATGGCCGTGACAGACATAAAACATTAAGCAGGGTAAGATTCTCTGGATTAAGAATTGAAATTTTGGCGTTTAGGGTAAAAGTATCTTTAGCAAATGAGTAGGAAAACTGAGATATTATGATTCTCACAGCTCGGTGACAACTCGATAATCACCAAGAGTGGAGCAGGTGACACCGGACCACGGCGGCAAACCGCCGTCACCACATGGATCCTCTCCAACCCACGCATACACGACTCTCCATCCAAGAGACGATTTGATTTCGTTCAAAGCTTTCACTGAAAATTAATCGCAAGACACACAAACCCTTCAATCAATTCCAATTTCAACGTCTGAAAACGACAATGCCATTCATTACGCAAATTAGAATTAGGATCAGATACTGAGAGAGAAAGGCGAAGAGCGATACCGTCACGCTTGAGGGTTTTACAGTGCGCGAGATTGAAGTGTGACAAAACAGAACCAATGATAAGAAATACTGCAGTAAAGAGTATCCGCGACATTTGGAATTCCCAGTCCCTCAATGGCTCAATCAAGTATTATTGAGAATGGGATTTGTCTCTGTTTGTTTGGATTCCAGGCTATTGAATCTGTGATTCGGATTTGATGAGTGAGGAAGAAAAGTAGTAGGAACACAATGAAATATGGATTAATCGAAGCTGAGCTTCGGGGAACGCAATATCAAGTTGGAAATCTCAACAGTACTCGTCGGCATTTGGCACTGAAAATAATACTCCTCCTGTACTTAATATAAGACCCATTTAACTAATTTGATTAGATTAAAGAAGTTAGGTAAGTTAGTTAATTATAAAAAATATGACATGTTTTTCCCTTCTACCTGGTTATGGTTGAGGGAGTATCCATAAGGGTAATTTAGAGAAAATTGATAAATATGAGAAATGGGTCTTATATTTAAGACCAAAACTAACTCAACAATTTGGTCTTATATTAAGAACCGAAGGAGTATTTGAGTGATCCAATTTTTTCAAAGAAATAAAAAAAATGGAATTAAACCTAATTTATCGGACATTTTTTGCAATTATTTTTGTTGGATTGAATAACACAGCCTTACCGTTAAAACGTAAATGTCAAATAGTACCTTCCATCTGTTATACTTTTCTGTGCTTCGCTGACATTCTTGTTTTCTTCTTTCAGAAACAACGACAGCGAGTTCCGCTACTCTTGATAAAAATAAACTAAATTACATAAAGTAAAAAATTGATTTAAATCAGTTAAAAATAATAAATATGTAAAAAATATAATTTATTTATAAAAATACCTTAATTAACGATTAACGAATAGGATGAGAGAGCGTATGAATAATTAGTCTCTAAAATACCTTTATTAATACAAATATTATTCAATTAAAATCTATTTAGCAAAGCTATTAGAAAACAAAAAAGCACTTTTTATATTGTAATAAATATAAATTTAGTTTCCTATCTCTGATATCCGTGGAAGGCTTCTTTATCTTCTTGTCAGTCTACCAAATTTATCTCCAGATTCCTCGTAACTTTGCAATGAAAGGCACAAATAAAAGTAACTTCTTCTTCTTCTTCTTCTTCTTCTTATTGTGTTGCTTGTAAATATACAAATATAGTATGAACAATTATAATAGAATAGGGCTGGGAGTTATATGTCACATCACAATTAGTAGAATATATATTTCGTTTCAATAAACCAAATATATATATATATATATATATATTTCATGGTGGAGATTGCAAATCCACATATTGAAATATACACAGCACATTTTCTATTCAGATTAGGGACACCCCACCATTTGCATTTGTTGAAATGATGGTGTACACATTTTTTCCTAAAAAATTAATTATATAAATATGTGCGTGCATTTGAACATTATATATATTATTATGGTCAAGGAAATTCATAATAACCAACCAACTACCCCTAGAAAATAAATAAATAAATAAAAAGGAGGGAATTAAATGCAAATATACCAAGTCACGTTCATTAATTGAAACAAGGAGCTATACATGAAGAATATAAAAGGTTATAACAAATTTAAAAAGAGAGAGAGAGATTGAAATGTTGGTGATCCACACATGACACCAGGAAGATGAATAAAAGCCAAATTTGAGGTAATTATACAGAGCAAGCAACTCCACATAAATAGTAAAGTCTTTGTCACAAGGTGGCTCCCCAGCATTAATGCAACTCATGGGATACTCTTGATTCCAATTCATCCATTTCCTTAGCCATAACATCCATTTCCATGCTTGTTTTCAGATTCTTCTTCTCTTTCCTTCTACAAAACTTCCTACCTTAAGTCTCTCTCTCTCTCTACTCTCTCTCTTCATCTGCATCACTCTCCCCAAAAACAAGCATGGAAATGGCAGCTAATAATTTGCCTGTATGTTATTCCTAAAGGGACAAGAGAAAAAAGAAAAAAGGATCAGAAAAGAACCTTAATAATCAACTGATTATCACCACAGTACAGAAGCGCATAGGTTGTCTCGGAGAAATATGCTGTTTATCTCTCTCTCTCTCGCTCTCTCTCTCTATATATAAGGAGCCATGCCTGCCAAAGACTGTCTCTTTCTCTGCGGTAGCCATTGTTGATGCAGAAAACTGTCTCCTCTCTCTATCTCGTTGGATGATCCAAGAACTTGAACAAGGGTTAGCCTTTCGGTATCTATAATCATAAAACGTAGAAAAGATAGATAACAAGAAAGAGAACACTTAAAAAGAAAAGAAAGAAGAAAATGGGTTTTGCTAAATGAGGATCTTAGGACATAAAGTAGTGAGTGAGTGATAGGATGATCAGTTATGAAGTGGGTTTGGTCCTGTGGGGACTAATCTCTTCTGGACGCCATATCTGGGATCAATCTCACTGTTTTTGTCAGAGTTCGTCATCTGGGAAGGAAGAGGACGATGAAGAGTAGTGTCGTAGTAGTAGTAGTACTTGTGGATTCTTTGAAGCTGGAAGCACAGAGAACGTGGGGTTTCTTTGGAGAAAGATTCACATCGACGATGATGAAGGCGGTGATTCTGGTGGTGGAGGGCGGTTGTGGAAGGTGGCAAATTTCTGCAATTCACAGAGCAGACAAAGAAGAGAAGGTAAAGAAGAAGAAGAAGAATAAGGTTGGGATGGAAAAAAGAAGAAGGTGGGGTTGATGAAGACAGAGAGCTCTTCATTTCAGAAACAGAGGAGAAAAACACAGTTGCAGAGAAAATGAATATGAAAGATCGATGATGATGATGATGAAGACGAAGCGGAGGGGGAAAGAGAAAAAGGGAAAGGAGGGAAGGAGGGGGAGAGAGTATTAATGCGAAGCGAGAGACCCATGACACTGAGTGGATACAAATGGGGAGAAATTAATAAGATTGAAGGGATTTTTGGGTTTATAGTCAGCAGTGTTCACCTTTTCTCATCATACCAGTCACGAAGTTTATATGCATTTCCGGGCCATATAATTAGTTTTCATGCTTTTCCTTCTCTTTTATTCACTTCTTTGACTTCTTTGTTTCTCTCACGTCATTTCGTATATTTTAGTATTTCAATTTCTAAACATATCACGTGATGCCTGAAAAAAACAAAGAATTTCTAAATATTAAATTTGATTCCATATATATATATATAATATCAATTTTATATAACTATTTGCTTTATTTAAGAATAGTGGGGTTTTTCCTGTGTAATCCACTTTAAACCTAATGGAAAATTTGGTAAGTTTTCATAGGGGAATTATACATTTTTATTTTCAAAGATAGAAAAATATGAGTGGGGCTTTTAATGTGTGGAAAAAGACGTCATTTATTCATATACATGTGAGTATAAATTTGAATTTTCACTGAGTTTTTTTTCAAAAAAAAATTTGGCGTTGTTTTAAGTTGATTTCTACCTCAAACTATCGTATGAATAATAAATGATATGAATTTAATGGTTTTGAGCATGACAATATTGAAGAGAATCCAGCAATCACACAACTCCATGTTTTTAGAATTTATATATATTAGTATAAATTTGAATTTTCACTGAGTTTTTTTTTTATAAAAAATTTGGCATTGTTTTTTAAAGTTGATTTCTACCTCAAACTATCGTACATGAATAATAAATGATATGAATTTAATGGTTTTAGCATGACAATATTGAAGAGAATCCAGCAATCACACAACTCCATGTTTTAGAATTTATATATATTAGAAAATTTTGAAATTTGAATTATTATTCATATGAACTATCTTAGAGTACAATGAAATATCCCCATCAACAACAAAAATTATATTTCTCGAAGTACTGAGAATAAAAGATAGATTCTTTCAAACCCTCAACCTCTTAGATAAATGACAAGAGCCCCTATTACTCACATACTAACTTGAATAGGTAACTGTTTGTATTATTTTAATACCCACAATTTTATGCTCCGGTTTTTTTTTTTTCATAAGATTTGAATTTTTGAACTGCTTTTATGAGATTTAAATTTTTGAATTGGTTTAGTCTTTTTTGTAAAATTTAATTTGGTGTTATCTAAATATAAAATATATTTTTACCAATTTTACCTATTATTAATTGTATCATTTTTTGGCACATTCTTTTTCATAATTTTTCTCTCGCCATTTCTTTCTCTAATCTACTTTCTTATAAATAAAGGCATATTCAAAAAATTTTAAATATATATATTTGTTGCATGTTTATAATTTTAAATTGTTGCATATTTATAATTAACTAATACTAATAGATTTTTAAATCACACAATTTGTTTAATTAAATCTTATAAAAAGAAAGAGACATAGTACTCTTTACTTTGATGATAACTTGTAACTTGTTTTTTTCAAAAAAATAGTGTCAACTGAGGAAAAGAAATACAGTAACAAAATCTTTATATGTGTGTATATATATTGGGATATTAGTTTTTTTTGTTAAAAAAGTTTAGATGAGTTGGATCTGAGAATTCATTAGAATCAGGGCATGCTTCCAAACTTAAAAAGCGTTTACAAAGGGTACTCATATTACCTTCAACAAAGTTCTCATATTAGTAGTGGGTTTCGAACTCACGATTTTATGGGTTATGAGTTGATTTCTTATCAATTGGACTAACTCTTATTGGCGAGAGATTAGTTTTCTTATGAACAATACTTACATCAAGTTCTTTATATTCATTATGTCAAGTTTTCTAATTATTCATAACCATGTGTCATATTTTTTAAATATTAATATTTAATGACATTTAACTATAAATTCATATGAAACAAAAAAAGGCACACAATCATCATCATATGTAATCGGACAACCTGATATAATAAATATATAGAAGTTCACCTAAGTTTTTTCGGTTATGTAACCTCAATTCACAAATCACATCCCACCTTATCCTCATAGTACATTTATACACACACACACACGCACGCACACAGAGATTTGATACATTTTCACGACTTCCTTTCATTATACATATAAATTACAAAGTTGAGGCTTTTAATTTGAGTTGACATAAGGAGATAAAACAATTTAATACATTTAAGTAACCTCGTCCATTTCTGTTAACTAATGAAGCTGATAATGGTCCTGACGATAGAACAGAAATAATTACAAGGCCCATAATGTTGAAGTTTCTTCGTCAAACTATACAGAGTAATCTCGTTGAATGTCATTACTATTGCTTCCATCATCATTGATTAATTCTTTGTTTTTTTTCCATTTTTCTTGAAAAATTATCTTCTTAATAGATAGTATTACCTTTGGATCCGTAATATAAAAGCTCTTTTAATTTTTATTTTGATTCTAAATATAAGATTACAATCCACTTTGTTTCTCATATTTATCCATTTTTTTAAAGATAGTCCTTATAATAATGATAGTTTTAGTTAATATACTTGATTAGTCAAGGATATTTTAAGAAAAAACAAACCCCATTTATTACAAATAACTAACTTAACTAGTTTTTATAATAAACTTAAATTAATCAATTAGCTCTTATATTAAGGACCGGAAGTACTATTTAAGATGTTTTGCCTTCAACGCAGTCAAGACATGGGGATTTTTTAATATATTATTTTGATTCTGATTTGGCAGGATAAAAATAATAAAATATATTGCATGTAAACTGATGTGGAAGGGGAGATTTTTTTTTCTTCTTCATATAAATCAACTTACAATTTTGCCCATAATTTATTATTTATTACTCTATTTTCTCAAAAAATATATATGCTAAATGAGAGTAAAATTAAAAAATTATTAAATTTTAAAATTTAGTCGATTTGTAATGTTATTGGATATTTTTTTTTTGAAATAACACCACCATTGGATTTTACGTGGAAGACATTAAAAAATGAGACTTTAGGTTTAAAACCATATTAAATTTTTAAAATAAATTTTATATTTACAGCTAAAAAAGTACTGTTAATTATTTATTTTAAATCCTACTGCCGGGAACTAAATGTGAACATTTCTCTCAATAGAGATTTGAACTTGTTTATCACCATGTTATGAAAAACTAATCCCTTTCATTAACCTAACTTTGTTGGTTTTGTAGCCTCAATTCTACTGTATTGTTAGAAGTTGATTTCCATTCTTGGAGGCTTTAAGGTCCCGTTTGGTAGGAAGCATTGAAAATTAGAGATAGAGAATGGGATTGGGATTGGGATTGAGAAAATCTATTAAAAGAATGTTTAGTACAGAGATTACTTATTATATCGGATTAGCCAAATCTATGTATGTGGGATTGTAGAATACCATGAGAAAAAGTGGTATTTCCTAATCCCACCTTTGTGGGTTTGTCTAATCCTATATAATAAGGAATTACTCATACTAAATACTATTTTAATGATTTTTTTCAATTGCAATCCTAATTCGATCCTTTTTTTTCAATGCTCCGTATCAAAAGAATATAAAAGTATAGTTTTTGTAGTTATTATGTTATGCTTTGTTAACCTTTTTTTTTTTTTTTTGATAACGCTAGTGTGTGTTATATTTTATGTATGCTTATTTGTGCATATATAGTGAGAGAATCCGCAAAAAAAAAAAAAATATTAAATTTACATCAAGTTTGATAAAATTTTTTTTAAAAAAATTATTAAATTTACATCAGTTTGATAGAGTTAGAATTCTTTATTTAGAATTTAGTAATTTTTTTTTTTATAGGATTTTTCTTATGCTTTTTTTTTTTATATATTTCGGCAAAGAAAAATTCCCCATATTATCAAAAGAATATTTATTTTAAATGAGAATAACGTTAAAGACATTTGTGATCGTGTGAAGACAGTGGGGATTGCGGATGACGAAGAACGTCACAGGTAAAATGGATATTCTCAAAACGCACAATTTCTTGCCGTTAACTTTGCGTTTTGAGTTACATGCGTCACGTGGCAACATCTTCCCCTCCGTTTTGGTACACGACCACAATTTGTCGCCGACAGTTTAGAAGATTCATTCTGCAGCTCAAAAGGCTGTTCTGTCGGACGGTGCTTCACACAGGTGGTACTTTCATGATCAGATATTCCTCCAAATTCGTCCTAAATAATTGTGGAGATCGATGAGTGTATAATATTCCTCATCGATTTATGATTATGATTCCCCCTGCCGTCTTCTTCATCTTCTTTCTCTTCGTCAACCCCTCCATCGAGTCCAACGTTTCCATATCTATCACCCCGACTGTTCTTTCTAAATCCGGCGATTCCGTTCAAATCCAATGGTCCGGCATTGATTCTCCTTCAGATCTTGACTGGCTCGGTATATATTCTCCTCCCGATTCTCGCAATGACCACTTCATCGGCTACGTCTTCCTCAAAAGATCACCCACATGGCGATCTGGGTCGGGTTCGATTTCCCTACCCCTCGTCAATCTTCGATCCAACTACTCATTCCGGATCTTCCGTTGGTCACGCTCCGAGATCAACCCAAGGCGCCAGGACCACGACCACAACCCCTTGCCCGGCACGAAACACTTGCTGGCTTCCTCACAGGAGCTCGCATTTGAACCGGGTCGGGGCCCAGAACAGATCCATCTGGCATTCACGGACAGCGACGATGAGATGCGGGTCATGTTCGTTACCGGGATGCGAAAGAGACGTATGTGAAGTACGGGGAGAGTGAGGATAAACTGGGCAGTGTGGCGTTGGCTCGTGTGAGGAGGTACGAGAGGGAACACATGTGCGACTCGCCGGCCAACCAGACGATCGGTTGGAGGGACCCTGGGTATATTCACGATGGGGTTATGACGAATTTGAAGGAAGGAGTGAGGTATTATTATCAGGTATTGTGCATATAACGAAGTGGTTCTTTAATCTTAAGAGAATTGTTTTGTATAAGTCTTAAACTCAGAAGCACCGCTGCTTATACACACATTGGTTATATGAAATGTTCAAACGCAATTTGGACTGTTTGCTGGTGTCCTCTTGAACATGATAAGATTTGGTGTTTGCCTTCCCCACCCTCTGTTTTTGTTGATCAGGGAATTTTACTTGTATCCTTTTGAATTCCCCTCTGTAAATCTCAAATTTTTAAAATTTCAAGGCCTTCCTGATCCTGAAAATTGCTTTGTTGAACCTTATGCTGATTATATGGTTAGAACCATTCAGTTGGCTTGATGTGTTATTTGACTTGTTTCACTTTTGCTACTTAACTGTAGCTGTCGTCTAGCAATTGTTCTATAATATCCTGTTGAGTAGTTTAAGTCACATAATTAAATCATATGGTCACCATCCCAATTCCCATTGTAGCTTGAAGCCTATCTGATAACTCTTGATTTCATATTCTTTTCTGTATTAGGTTGGAAGTGATAGTGGAGGTTGGAGCATAACACATAGCTTTGTGTCGAGGAATAAGGACTCTGATGAGACAATAGCTTTCCTCTTTGGTGACATGGGAACCGCTACACCATACAGGACATTTGTGCGAACACAAGATGAAAGCATGCTAACCATGAAGTGGATCCTACGAGATGTTGAAGCTCTTGGTGACAAGCCTGCCTTTATCTCACACATTGGAGACATTAGCTATGCAAGAGGTTATGTGTGGCTGTGGGACAATTTTTTCGCTCAAATTGAACCTGTTGCATCCAAAGTGGCCTACCATGTTTGCATTGGTAATCATGAGTATGACTGGCCTTTGCAGCCATGGAAACCTGACTGGGCTGGTTATGGGAAAGACGGGGGTGGTGAGTGTGGGGTGCCCTACAGTTTAAGGTTCAACATGCCTGGGAACTCTTCTGAACCCACAGGAACCAAAGCACCGGCAACTCGAAATCTTTACTACTCGTTTGATATGGGAGTGGTACATTTTGTGTACATCTCAACAGAGACTAATTTTCTTGCTGGGGGCAGCCAGTATAACTTTCTAAAGCATGATTTGGAATCAGTTAATAGGAGCAAGACTCCTTTTGTTGTTGTTCAAGGGCACCGTCCCATGTACACAACAAGCAATGAAAATAGAGACGCGCCACTGAGGAGACAGATGCTTGAGCACTTGGAACATTTGTTGGTGAATAACAATGTCACCCTTGCTCTCTGGGGACATGTTCATAGATATGAGAGGTTTTGTACACTGAATAATTTCACTTGTATCAGCACTGATCAGAATGGGGGAAATGGTACTGTTCATGTTGTAATTGGCATGGCAGGACAGGACTGGCAACCAATCTGGCAACCTAGACAAAGCCACCAAGACATGCCAATCTTTCCACAACCAAAACATTCTCTGTACCGAGGAGGTGAGTTTGGGTACACCAGGCTGGTTGCGACAAGGAAGAAGCTTGTGCTTTCCTATGTAGGAAACCACGATGGCATGGTACATGATATGGTGGAAATCTTGGCACCTGCAGAAGTTGTTGATGACGCTGGGGACGCTAGTGGTGTCAATGGTGAGAAAGATGGTGGTCAGGCTGTGAAATCCAGTATGTCTCGCTACGCGGAGGGAGCAAGTGTGTTGCTGATTGGGGCCATCACAGGCTATACCATTGGTTTCCTTACTCACAGAAGAAAGAAGCCTGAGACCAAAAATGATTGGACTCTTGTGAAGACTGAGGAAAGGTGAAGATTGCCCCACCATTTTGTGCAGTTTTTCCTCCCAAATAAGGCATGCATGTTCGAAAGTTCAGACTATGAGACAGATCCAATGCTATTTTATTGATTTTGGCCCTGAGCTGCGATATGATGTAGTTGCGGACTTCTCTTAAATATATAGGCAATTTTTCTCACTATTTGGGAATTGGGATGTTCATAAATCTCCCTTTGGGATCTGTTTTAATATGTAATTCTGGTCAATTTTTCTTATTGTTGTCAAACTGAGGTTTCGATGTATATATGAGGAGTCATGACGGAACAAATAAAATTTGTTAACAAGATTAATCTCTGTGGGTGTGTGCGGTTTGGTTGGTTAAATCCTCCAATGAAAGTTATGTTGTAGAGTTTCGCCTTCCAAAAGTTATTTATTCTTGGTATCAAATCCAGAGAGATTCTATTGTCGTCTAATTAGATAGAGTACTGTTGGGCTAGGATGAAAATTAAATACATCTTCAAGAACCCATTTTAAAGACATTACACATCTGACACATTCTCAAAATATTCTGGATCTACTTTATTTTATTGATTATATTTCATATTACATTTTATTACACGTATAATCAAATCTACTTTGTCAGCCAATTAATTTACGTGCACGCTGGTTGGCACCCTTAACTCGCCAGTTCATCTCGTCCACATCCAAATTGAGATGATCCATAGCTTTATTTTGCCTGCAAATTGCCAAATAGAAAATAAACCTTCGAGAATAATTATTAAAAAATAATGGGACAAAAGAAAACTATTCCATTTTTTTTCCTTATAAATGCCACAATTAAATTCTGATTTTCATATGTATTACGAATTCAGATAAAATACTTAACTAACCATTTTATTTTGTGATATAATAATTATTTTTTATTTTCACATAATGCTTCCTCATAAACATAGATAGCAAATTTCACCTGTCTATTTCAGTTCCCATGTCAACCGCCATACTCTTCAAATCGACCAAAACATTGCTCAGATCTGAAAGTGCCTCATCTTGTTTTGCCTTCTCAACCTGAATTTACTAACTTCATGAAATACTATTCCCAACAAAATAATTCTTCATGAACATTTCATAGAATTAACCAAAGTAAAAATACTCATAAATACTCACATCAACTTTCTGATATGCAATGGCTGCATCAGCAGGAAGCGTCTTTGAAGATGATTTTCGTTGAGGCAGAGCAGCTAAGCCTAACCTTTCCCTCTTATCCATATTCTCCTCACCTTTTTTGGATAAATTACCTGTTCAGACATTAGATTCCACGATATTGTCATATTCTTTGCCCAACAAAAAAAAAACATTAATCGAGCTATTTGAATATTGGGATAAACTAAAAGAAGCTTAGAAAGAAAACCTGGTGTTATAATGACAGGGCCTTGAATGTTTCTAGTCTTCTTCGGCTTCCATGCCTTAGAGAACATCCCTCCAAGACTGCTCAATAGTTTTTCACCCTAATGACCAATGATGTAAGTTACTATTGAGAATAAAACCAGGAAACAAAAGGTGCAGGGTAAAAGTAAAACCAGTTCATGTATTAATAATAATTAAACTTTGAGAAGTTTTAACTAGTTCTATGGAATCTATTCATTAATATTTTGATCTTCTTTGCAGTTTCCATCACATAGCTATCACAATAATATTTTAGTTGCCTTTCCACATCAAGATCTTCTTGAAGATATCACTCAAAACCAGAGAAATTGCACAAGTTAAAGAAGGAATAAAAGAAATCAAATAAGGTCACCTTAGTCAAATCCTTCTCTGTATCAACTATCATATTATGAGTCTTTGTTATTTGCTCACCCTGTTGGTGCAACATCTCAAGGGTCTTTGTGGCTTCTTCTCTTATGTCCTCACCTATCTTGAGGCAATTTCTCACGCCTTTTGTTGTCTCCTCTGCCTTGTTCAGCGCATAATTCTCCAACTCCTGGACACTCTGGTTCTCTAGGCCTCCATGGTTACCAAACCTATTTTTGCATCAATTCAACTAAAGTCATCAAGTAGAAAGTCATAAAGAGGTTTATATACAATCATTAATGCGTTCTCTCACGAAAAAAGTAATTGCTTTTTGAAGGGTGGGAGGATTCTTGATCATAAAATTCATATATTGACTACATATGGAATTTAATTTGCCCAAATCACCTGTGTTTTGCAGCAGATGAGGAGTGTGATGATGAGGAGGAGGCCCCTCTTCCCCAGTCATCTTCTTCATCATCATCAAACGGGTTTCCTTTAGAATTAGGTGCTTTGAGGGCATATTCTGATGTAGTTCGTCTAGCTGGCTTTTGGGTTGCTTTATTAACTGGTTCTGTATCTGAATCAAAAGGGTTAGAACTGGGAGAAGCTTGAAATCTTGGGCGAACTGGGTCTTGTGTAGCAATCTTGGGAGGTGTTCTTCTAAGCCCAAACATTGTCACCTCCAAAATTGAATTTATAAGCAGAAGAACAATCTATCCTTCCTCGCAAATACTTTTCCAAGGGCACAAATTGGTTTCAGATTATGTCAAACCTGGAAATCAATAAAATAAGTCAGCATATGGGGATTCAGGATTCACTCAGCGAGAGATTCATTAAATACAAGTGAATCCAGAAAAGATTACAAAACTCAAGAGGGGTGGCGAATAATTGAATAATTTTGCCGGAAAAGAAATCCAGCAACATGTACAGGGGCACAGAACACCGAAATTCAGTAGGCATGAACCATCTAACAAGTACATATAACTATAAAAATTCAAATTCTAATTGGTTTATGGTAACGAAATGAGAATGCTTGCATTATATAAAGAAAGAACAGAAAAAATTAAAAAGGAAAAGACCCACGATGCCAAAACGCAGTAAAACAGAAATGAACAAAAGACGGACAAGAAAGATCTGTGTACCTGAAATCTGAAGAGCGGTGGAAATAAGGAAGAAAGACGCAAAAATGGACTAAGTTATATGGCACACAAACCCATCGGCATAAGGATGGGTTTGTTGTGCTTGTCGTCGATAATGGAAGAGACTGGGAATCGTGTCAGTCTCGTTAATTTAAAGCTTCCAATAGAAGGAGGCGCCTCGGAAAATCAGAGAGACCGGTGTCCTGTACTGCTCAAGGCATCTTAAAATTCGACCGTTAGTTTCTTGGAATCATACCGTTTGGTTTCGGCTGGGGGAAAATAAAAATACTTCTTAATTAAGAAAACAAATAAACTTATAAACCTTTTTTTTTTTTTTACTGAACCACTAATAAACCTGTTAAATTGGGAGTTTTATGGGCATAGTAAAGCCCAGTTTCTCTCTGACCAAAAACAAAAAAGAAGCCGAATTTCTCCGGGTCAGAGAAAAATAAATTGATAGTTTCGTGTTTTTTTTTTCCTGGAAACCTTTTTGCACATGTGCGTATATAGGCGGGAAAACGGATCGAGCCCGTTGGGCTGGCCCATTTAGACCCTGAAATTATGAGGATCGAGTTTGATATTTTTCCCTTCAAATGGAAAATAAGCCTTGGAGGGTCGCGGACTGGCCCTTTTAAGCCATTTTATAATTTTTTTTGTTTTTTAAATTTTTTTATATAATTCTAATGTTATTAATTTTTTATATTGTTAATAATATTTTAAATATTTAGTTATTATTATCATTTTAAAATTAAATTTAGTGTTAGACAATAATTTATCTAATTAAATTTTTAAAAAATGGGTTAATTTAGAATTTAATAATGATTTGATTTATATTGTATGCGTTGATATTTTTAAACTATATATATATATTTGATAATATAGTATTTTTATACTTATATAATTTGTGATTCTATAATTTGAATTAGAAATTCATGAGTTTTAATAATAATATTTCTCACATTAAAGTAAAATAATAGCTAGATTGTAAAATTTAAAAGTAAAATTCTTATAAAGAAGAAAAACTTGATATTTTTGTTACGAAAGAAAAACATACTTATGAAGAAGAGTAATTAATTATAATGATGATGAAATTTCAAAAGATTAATGATAGTATTTATTTATTGCACAATTGCACTATAGATAAAACTTTTGAATGTTGTTATCTTGTTAATGAATGTTTTAGATGTTCTTGGATGTTAATGGATATTTATATATAATGATATTTTATATTTGTGACTTAATTTTATTCATATTTATGTCTTTTTTTAATAATTTCATTGGGTTTTTTTTATTTTTTATAAAAAATATGATAAATATAAAAAATAATGTTTTTTTTCTTAAACGGGCCAAAAGCCTGGGGGCCGGCCCTAAGTCCTGTAGCTTAAGGGCCTGACCTAACAAATTGGGGTATTTTTGAAATTTTAGTCCTAGAGGGTCGGGCTGGCCCTAATTCCCTTTTAAGGCCTTTTATAATTTTTTTGTTTTTTAAATTTTTTTATATAATTCTAATGTTATTAATTTTTTACATTATTAATAATATTTCAAATATTTAGTTATTATTATCATTTTAAAATTAAATTTAGTGTTAGACAATAATTTATCCAATTAAATTTTTTTTCAATTAGAATATTACAATTTTTAATTTTTTTTCACGTCATTTTTTCAAAACTAAAACATTAAATTATCTGTTCATTCAAAATATGATTAATCTTTGAAAAGATACATATTCGTAACAATTGACTTGTCGGGGATCCTTAAAGACCCTTTTGTAAAGAAAGCGTGTCATGACCATAAAGCATGATAATCTGCGATTTTTTTTAAACAAATATATGAAATTATAATTGGATCATAAATTATAAATTAAATTTTATCATGTGGTAATCATGAAATATAACTGATCAATTTAGTTGTAGCCCAGTCTAACCTTCTAGTTTATATAAAGAATACTTATCAATTTACATTTTTGGAGTGTCCTTTTTTTATACCATGTGAATTAATATTAGCAATGTCTATAAACTTTTCAAAATTTTTTATTTACTGAAGTTCTCAATGGTAAATAATTCTTAACTATTTATTACTTATTTTTGGGAATTAAAGTTTGAGACAAAAATATGAGTTTAATTTCAATTTGATACTAAAGGATTATAGAATTTCACTAAATAAACCGAAGATAATTAAGTAATTTGACACTGATAATATACAAATTGGCATTGAATCCTAAAATTTGACACTAATATCTTAACATTTGACGTTAAAGAAATTTGCTAAAACTTGATATACTAATATTTTTAGTTTTTAGCAAGAGGTCAAAGGTTATTCAGTAATTCGATAATTATATCATGAAATTTAATATTAAGATTGGATAATAATGCACTTATGGAATATTAACGTCAAATTTTAGAATATTAATGTCAAAATTTAAAATTTCATATCAAATTTAGGAATATTACTGTTAAAATATTTAAAGATTTTTGGTCTACAACGCTACATTCAAATTTTAAAATGTTTTGTCCTAAGCTGGAATTGAATTCATATTTTGGGTTCTAAACTGTAATTCTCCCATTATTATTTCATGATATTGACCCAAAACCGGGCGAAATTGTTAAGAATTCCCAAAGATGCATGGGAGTATGGGACTGTAAATCTGTAACTCAGAGAGAAAGAGGCAGCTGTTTTTTCGCAGTCGAAGTGTCCACATTTTATGACGTGCTTGTGCATGGACAAATCCCTTATGGGCAAATGGGTGGGACAGAAAACCTATAAATATCTAAGGCAACCGATGATTATTATTCATAATTCAATTTTTCCTTCGAAGACCAGTAAAAGCGATCGAGACAAGCGATATTATTGGCTCGTGTTCAACATGACAATTCATCATATATGCGAAGAAGAAGAAATAAGAAGATAAGAAGACAAGATAGTGCCTCTTTCACTCATTTTTCCCACTCCTCTTCTTCGGGGACTTTGCCATTTAATTTCTCGGCATTTTCTCTGCAAAACTTGCAGCAATGGCTGCTCTGATGTTCTCTGCAACCTGCGGGCAGTCAAACTCTGCGCTGGGTCCTAAATACAGTTCAACCTTCACTCCAGGAAGCAATTTTTGCAAGTTTTTTGCCATCACAACGTCAGCCTCCAGAAGGTTAAGAAGAAGAAGGCTTTGCGTCAAGAATGTCGCTAGCGATAAAAAGCAGGGGCTAGAAGAACCAGTCACTGAAGGTTCCTTTCTTCCACTTATCTTCCTATCACATTAACTGTCTTGGGGGATTCTTGTGTGCAAGAAGTATGATTCTTGGCTATGACTGAGCTTAGGTTGAGCTATAACGTCAATGCATCATAGTGGTTGGCTGGTTTAAGGGGCAACTTTCTTTTTGGTGTACTAGAGGATTGTACGTTGTAACTAACTGGTGTGTTGATCAATTCCCTTTTTGAAAGATCACCTCTTTCTTCTAAATTTATATTTATGATGAGTTTGATAAGGGAAATAGAATAGCACCAAAATGTAGGAACTTGAGAAAGAAATTTCCGCGTTTAGGTTTATTACTTGGAAACATGGTAACTTGGCAAGTTCCGGGTATTGTATTGTGGTAAAACTTAATCAATGAATACTCCATATTTTCTTCCCAAATCTCTATGTTTCTGATAAACTAAAATATATAAGATATTTGTTGAATAATGTGATCTTGGTTTTCTGTTTTCGGGCAACAAATTTGGTCCTAGATAATGAACTGTCTTGCTTGACACTTGCAGGCAATTTGGATTCCTTCGTGCCAGATTCTGCATCCGTTGCTTCGAGTATCAAATATCATGCTGAGTTCACCCCTTCGTTTTCTCCAGAGAAGTTTGAACCCAGCAAAGCATTCTTTGCGACTGCAGAGAGTGTCCGTGATACTCTAATCATAAATTGGAATGCAACCTGCGCCTATTATGAGAAGAAGAATGTCAAGCAAGCATACTATATGTCTATGGAGTATCTACAGGTTCACAGTGGGTTTTCCTTTTACAGCCGCAAGTCATGCTCCATTGCAAAGGGCAATTAATTTTCTTAATAACATTTTAATTTTCAAATTTTACAGGGCAGGGCATTGTTGAATGCAATTGGTAACTTACAGCTTACTGGCCCTTATGCTGAGGCGCTCATTACGCTGGGGCACAATTTAGAGGATGTGGCTAACCAGGTCTAATGAAGTTATAACCCTTTTCCTTTAACAAATAACTAAAAAAGTGATTTAACTTGTGTTAATCCTCTGGTACCATATAAGCAAAATTTGAGCAGGACCGTGACTATTCTGTATGCATCTCATTATCTCAGTGTCTGTCATCGTAATAGATTTCATAGATGATGATCATACAATATATGTTTGACGAGAATACTATGCTTAAGTTCATTTACAATTCGCAGGAGCCAGATGCTGCACTTGGGAATGGGGGATTAGGTCGTCTCGCTTCTTGCTTTCTGGACTCCTTGGCAACATTGAACTACCCTGCATGGGGATATGGACTGAGATACAAGTATGGTTTATTCAAACAGCACATAACAAAGGATGGCCAGGAGGAAGTTGCTGAAAGATGGCTTGAGGTAGATTTGTAACTTTTGGGCATGTTTTTGTATCTAATGGGTTGGAGCTAAATTTCATATTAGCATAAGCTTCTATAGAGGTCAAAATTCTTTCATTACTTTAAGTGGAAGCTTTACAAAATCCTATGTTATGAGGGAAGCTTTTTGTAGTATATGAGTAGTTTATGGGTATAATGTCGATTCATCGACTAAATTATCTATTTACAGATGGGAAATCCCTGGGAAATTGTGAGAAATGATGTTTCTTACCCGGTGAAATTCTATGGAGAAGTCATTTCTGATAAAAATGGAAGTAAACAATGGGTTGGAGGGGAGAATATAATGGCTGTTGCATATGATGTTCCAATACCTGGGTACAAAACCAAGACCACTATAAATCTGCGGTTGTGGTCTACTAAAGTATCACCGGAAGAATTTGATTTGAGAGCTTTCAATGCTGGAGATCATGCCAAAGCATATGCTAATATGAAGAACGCCGAAAAGGTTTGCAAAATCTCTTGTCATTTCAGAATCTGGTATTGTCATGTTTCT